ATATGTTATAGACAGGTTTTGTAAGTATTAGGTAGGTTACGTACAAGCAGATTAATTAAGCATATAACAAGTATATTCGCCGACTTACGTCAAAGTGATCTTCTCAGCATCAAATAATGGTCTTTGGAGAATAATTGTCATTTCTCTTCGCAGCTTGAAACCACTTTTTTTCAGTTTTGGGTCAGAAGTTCCAGTCAAAAACAATTTATTTGGGAACTTTGTTGAAGTAGATTGGCACAAAACATGAGTACGTACGTACTCGACGTACGTACGACAAAACTGTGGAATATATTGTCGCCAGCAGTGTTTCCGGACCAATACGACCCAAACACCTTCAAAAAAAAAGAGCGTAGTCCTTTAAAGGCCGGCATCGCATTGGTGATACTCCTGGTGTTGCAAATGTCCATGGGCGACGGTGATCACTTACCATCAGGTGAGCCGTCTGCTTGTATGCCCCCTATAACATAAAAAAATCAGTGGCAGCAGCATGAGAAGGGCCCACAAAAATGAGGTATTACATGGTATGATCGATCTCCTGAAAAAGACAATGCTCTTCTGAAAGTTCACCAATTTCTACATAAGAAAAACCACTTCTACATTTTCCAAACATTGGAGAAAGTGATTGCTGCAGCGATAGGAGGTCGCACTACGCGCAGCTAGATTTAGCATTTCAATTCAGTTTTGTCACCAATCACCCGATTCCTACAAATTGAATGCGCATGCAAGTAATAATTCATCTTTATTTCATTAAAATTGGTGTACTACAACGAACGTTATTACAATTTAAAGCACGCAGACACACGGAATTATCTGATTTATTTCGATATCGTGACAGGTTTAGGGTAGTAACAAATAATCGAGCTGGCATAGTATAATTTTTATTATACATATTGCGGCAGTATTTGTCGAATAACAAAGCCGACCCGTAGTAATAACTGCCGAACGTTTATGCCGGCCGCGGGGCCCTATTATGTGTGTAGCTTACAAAGTGTGGATTTTTTGTTCAAGTACTTTCAAATATATATGTCATCTGAGAATCTTATCATACTAGGTTTAGTGTCGTGTGCTCTATCCCCCTTTTTAATAAAAGGAGAATAAGCTCAGATTAGTTACGCCTCGTTTTGTTCGTATCTATCACTCAAATGCCATTCGTTATTGAATGAAGAGAGACAAAACGTGGAGTAACTAATCCAAGCGTAGTCTTCGTTTAACAATAAGCGGGTATAAGTCCACTTCGGAATAGAATACTTTACTTAAGTCCCGCTAATGATTTTTCAAACCTTAGTAGTTAATCAATTCATTTATTACGAAGAAAAATAGGTACCTACTCAGTTTTTTTTCTTTATGTCGGTGTAACATGTCATGAATTATTCCAAGATACTTTCGGGAGTGAATAATATTTTTTGCATTTGTTTATTTTATTAATTTCAATACATCAAGTAGTCAATTCTATAAATGAACTACTAATACTACATACTGAATAATTAGTGTCGTTGAACGTAATAAAGTCACTATTGGAGATCCAGACAGTCTATTTTCTTCTTCACCAACGTCTGCTAATGTGGTATGCTGATTACACTGCGTTACACGATTTTGATACCCTCTTAACTGTAAGCTGGAATGAATAGGTAATGTGTCATAGATTGAATGTTCCAAACATATGTGGTATCCATCACGTCTAGTTTTCGAGGTACATGTCAATTATTATTTTCTACTACCCTCACTTTAGGCGTAAAAGACCATTACCGTTTTTGATGTATTGTACTTTTTGTGGATAATGTTTATGTGGGACAGCCTTAGATTAAAAAAAAAAGGGTAGATACGGTACGCTCATACTTGCATCAAACAAAAACTGATCCCACGACAGCGCGAACGGGACGGCGAGATCCGCGTCACTGCATTACCGACCCGAACGAAACAGCACGTTAAGTTTCAACGGCAGCGCGAACGAGACGGCGAGATCCGCGACACTGCACTACCGACCAATCACGCGAACAGTACTCGACGTCACTACCGAATAAGATTCAAAACAAACAGCAATTTTTATAAAAAAATATATTTTATAGTACTTACGAATGAAAAGTGATGCTGTGGGTGTTATTTTTAATTCTTGAGCAATTTGAGCACTTTTTAAAAACACACTTAGGCATTGTTTTATCATATAAACACAAATTATTAGCAATATTTCTTGTTGGCGTTCACATGTACATCGTTTGCATGTCAAGTTGTGACTAAAGCGATTAGGGTCGTGGACCACAATTCATGCGGATCACTTTTGTGAGGCTAATGCCGTATATACCCTTTTTGTTTTAATCTAAGGGGACAGCAGAGCCACAGAAAAACACTACATTACAAAAGTATGGCCAGAAAGGTCAGAGTTTGTATGCGGAAAATCTAACGTGAAACATGTACCATTGATAGATCCTAAATATGTTATTTTACCACCACTCCACCTAAACCTTGGTTTGATGAAAAATTTTGTGAAGGCTATGAAAAAAGAGGGAGATGGCTTTTTATATTTGAAGACAGTATTTTCAAAGTTAAGTGACGCCAAACTCAAAGAAGGAATATTTGAGGGACCACAAATACGTACTTTGATAAACGACCCAAATTTTGACAAAAAGCTTACTAATACGGAACTTGATGCCTGGTAGTCACTGAAAGCAGTTATTTTTATAACTTTTTTTTTTGGGTTTTTAGGGAATCACAGAGCCGAAAATGCGGAACAGCTAGTGAACGACATGTTAAAAGCATACGAAAAGTTGAGTTGCAGAATGTCATTAAAAATTTACTTTCCATTCTCATTTTTCTTATTTTCCATCTAATCTTGGTACGGTTAGTGATGAGCAGTGTGAGAGATTTCACCAGGATGTAAAGAAGCTTGAAGAACGTTTTCAAGGAGTTTTCATACGGTAATCGGTAGGTACATGATAAATCCTAATGTAATGTCACAGTTAACTTGTTTGGATATTGGAAACGAAGCTGAAATACATACAATACATAGACGAAGCTCACTTTGGAATAGCATACTTTACTTTTATACCGCTAACAGATTTATTCAATAGTTAAATAATTACATATTATTTATTGCGACGAAGAATAGGTACTAAGCCTCTTTTTTTATATCGGTGTAATATGTTCTTCTCCTCCCTTCTTTCTGTCTCTGTACCGTCTCCTTCTTTTCTAACCTATGCATCTCCCACGGGGGCAACATGAGACCACCCCTAGGTCTCATGGGGTTGCGTACCCAATGCTAAACATAGTGATACAGATGCAACAAATACTTAATTAAAAAAGAACAATATCGTTCGAAAGAGTCCAAAAAAAACATGTGATGATTATCATCTATTCTATGGAAATGACAAATAATGTATATTATGTATATCCATTTCTTTATTTATCGAATACAATACATTCAGTTATTATATATATATATATATATATATATAAACTACTAATAGTACATACTAAATAATTGGTGTCGTTGAACGTAATAAAGTCACTGTTGGCGATCCAGACAGTCTATTTTCTCCTTCACCAACGTCTGCTAATGTGGTATGCTGATTATTTTCACGCGGTATAACATTTAACGGTAAATCATCCATATCTGGGGCATATGCCCACTTCTCGAAAAGTTTCCGTGCTATAACGTGACTATCTCCATTGATTGAAGGTTGAATATCTACATATAAAAATTGTTTTTCAACTGTTGCCCTAATCACACTCTGTGTTCTCTTTTTATGGAATACTTTATTTCTAGCCTTAGCATCGACTGATGCCGCCAAAAATAGAGACCATCTCGGAATATAGTAATGACGGAAAACCTCTGCCCATTGCTTGCACGCGTAATCCGTTATTTCACCGTTTGGACCCCATAGAGTTATTTGATTTCTGGCATTCATTTCATAAAAGAATGTTTCCTCTTCGGATTTACCCATACTTGTTGCTTTTGATAACCAATTTGATATAGTGAAGTCTGAGTTCGTAGCAAGAATGCTCTCCATATCTTGCATCACATCTAGCAACTGGCTTACGGTAGCGTTATATACCCAAGTATTACCATATCGGCTGTCTAAAATATTTATGTATAATTGCTCTGCACGGTATTGCAACGCTTGTCTAGTAATATCAACAAGATCGTGATTGAATCCAGGAGAAAAACAATTTTCATTTACAACGAAAACGATTTTTTTGAAGGCGTCAAACAGATCTTTGCTTTTATACCATGCCCAAGGCTTTATTTTAAAACTAGGTCTGCGGGTGATAACGTATTTACCTCTCATTCTGTTCAGCCCTTCAAAATTGTAAACGCTATGCAGTAGCAGTTTCCAAACATCGGCTGTGTCATTGCAACCATACCTTCTTTCAGCGTAATCAGCCACCCACGCATCCAAATCTGGTATTGGTTTTTTCCGCCAACCTGCTTCTAGCATAAGGTCGTATACAACATAATTCTGATTGATACCTTCCGGAGTCAGACCGATGCCAATCATTGTAGTGTTGCCGCGATTCCTGACTTCGTACACTGCATTATTGATTGTCTGTACACTACCGAACATTCCCAATGTGCCACCAAAGTTATGTAACATGCACCAAATAAAAGGTTGGCCGAAGTACATATCATAGAGATAATATTGCGGCCATTGCTCTGACTGCAAGTCTAGAATCAACATTCGCCCTCTCGGTACAGCTGTGAGAAATGCTACAACTCTATTTTTAGGCCATAATATCGGATCGTGGACGAACATCCAATTTTGAATTAACCACACAGCTTTATTATCACACTGATTAATCGCTAGGAATATAGCTTTCGCCGTATCTCTAACGAAGTCTGTTGACCATCCACCAATCTTTATTTCATTAAAAGGATCAGCAGTGTAAATATGATCCGAGGCTGTACCAGCAGTTATTTCTCTTAAAAACATTTTACCTATAGTGTTGAACAGCGGATCGTTAGGGTCTACGAAGTAATCACAACAATAGCTATCACTGAACTTATTTCATGTTTCCACGGTGTGTAAAGTGGCGTTCGGGTAAATCCTTTTAATCGCTTTTGGTACATGTCCATTGAATGCGGGAAAAACTGGTATTATTCCAAGTCGGTACATGTAGTCTACAATTGAATCCTGGATATTTTTCTGTCTTTCGTGCCAAGATTGCAGTAATGGTCCGCCCCAACCACGTACGTTGCCCATTCTCAGCCAAGCCAGAAAGGCAGGGCCAGTAAAGTGTTGATCAATATCGGCTTTGTTCATTCCTAGGTTTTTGTAAACACGCGCCCATGCTGCTTCTTGGGCGACGGGAGCAAGAGCCAAGTTGATGCCATTAAGAGCCATCCACTCCACGTGATTATTCCAGTCATTTAGGTCCCACCAAACGAAGCTGTAAGATGTGGTGCAAACATTTTGATAATAACGAAATCGATCGCTCGCTACGATGAATTCGTCAACCTCAGGCAGAGGATTGAGTATTGCTACCCTTTGCGTCTGCCATGCGATCTGGCTCTTGCAATACTTCTTCAGATAATAATTGAAGCCCCAAACTGCAGCGACACCGGAACTCGCCCTGATGCACAGCATACCTTGCGACGTGCGCAGAGAAAATACATCTTTATTGTCGTGAAATAAGTTTGGGTTCACTTCCACTGTCACTTGGTTACTGTATTTCGCGATAATTGCAGAAGCAGCTTGTTGTTGATCACTTGCTGGGGTCTTGGTTTGCAGCTTAACTGGGTCCAGATAGTCCAAATTTAACCCCTTTGCTATTGCAATCGCTAGCAGCAATATTATGTAGGGTAACATGGTTGTGTAACTCTCTCGGCTGTCTCGAGCCTACTGAATTGAATTATAATGGTTCAATAACCGGTGGTCTGTGACCCTGGTCATATTCAGACGTTAAAAGATGATCGTAATACTGCTATTAGACGCGAGATATCACTATGTACTGTACAGTGGCTTGTTGTTTATTCAAGCTTCGATAATTAATTAATAATCGCATTCTTAAATGATATTTGCCCTTTATTAGTAAATTACTTCATTTTTAGAATTATTTGTTGTCTCAGAATATGACATTATTTTGCCAATGTAAGTATAATTTAAACCACTTAGTTTAATTCATTAGTTCTTTAGTACCTACGTTTTATTTAAGAACCATTTTGGTTTTTAAATATAAATATCATAGGTTAAATTAAATCATGTCTACAGTATGTTATACTTCGATATATATGTATATATATATGTATGTACTCTGTCTACGGTGTTGGGTATATTTTGTTCACGGGCGCAGCGGTCTTTGGAGGAGCCGAACCGCCGAGCGTCACTTACCATAAAGGCGCTATCCCTAGATCTTGACGCGCTCGCAGGCGAGGCGACGCCGCGCAGTGTTGCCAAACATATAAAAAAGACTGAAATGAAATTATGTGTTTCCAGGAATACATAATAAAATATATGTTGATGCCTGATGAATATCGATGATGTTATATGATAAAATGTGCGAAATGGAACCTATGATAGTCGAAACCATTGGACGATCCCTGAGGTACGTTACAGATTTTCAAAGAGATTGTAGGACTTTCGTTGAAAGTGGCTCTAAGAGCTGACACTAAAACTAGTATGATGATACTTCCAGATGAATCAGAGACGCGTTAATAGTAGGAAAACACAAAATGAAGATGATGCAATGCAAAAACCGGCGGCACTATAATTGAAAAATAAATATATATTCGGTTCCTATTATGATAAGACTCCCAGGTTTCATTTGTCCTCGATATAAGAAAAGGGTAGGGCTACACAACAATGTATACTGCAAGCCTTCATGACTGGGTTTATCAGTGGCAGCAGCATGAGAAGAGCCCACAAAAATGAGTTATCTAAATAGTAAGATCGATCTCCTGAAAAAGACAATGCTCATCTGAAAGTTCACCAATTTCTGCATAAGATAAACCAGTTCTACATTTTCCAAACATTGGAGAAAGAGATTGCTGCAGCGATACGAGGTCGCACTCTGCGCAGCTAGATTCAGCATTTTTTTCTAGTAAAACTTTTTTTAGATTTAAACATCTAGCAGTTAAATGCTTAAAAATAAATAAAAACATAGATTTTGCATTTTAATTCAGTTTTGTCACCAATCATCCGATTCCTACAAATCGAATACGCATGCAAGTAATCTTTATTTCATAAAAAATGGTGTACTATAACCAATTTAAAGCACGAAGACACACGGAATTATCTGATTTATTTCTATATCGTGACAGGTTTAGAGTAGCAACACAAATAATCGGGCCGGTATACTATAATTTTTATTATACATATTGCGGCAGTATTTGACGAACAACAAAGCCGACCTGTAGTAATAATTGCCGAACGTTCATCTACACAAATTGTATTTTATCCGGCACCGTCAGGTATTGCTACCCTTTGCGTCTGCCATGCGATCTGGCTCTTACAATACTTCTTCAGATAATAATTGAATCCCCAAACTGCAGCGACACCGGAACTCGCCTTGATGCGCAGCACACCTTGCGACGAGCGCAGAGAAAATACATCTTTATTGTCGTGAAATAAAATTGGGTTTACTTCCACTGTCACTTAGTTACTGTATTTCGCGATAATTGCAGCAGCAGCTTGTTGCTGATCATTTGCTGGGGTCTTGGTTTGTAGCTTAACTGGGTCCAGATAGTCCAAATTTAACGCGTTCGCTATTGCACTTGCTATGAGTAGTATTACGTAAGGCAACATGGTTGTGTAGCTTACTCGGCTGTGTCGAGACTACTGGATCGAATCATAATGTTCAGTAACCTGTTGTCCGTGACCCTGGTCACGTGCAGATGATAAAATATGATCTTAATAATGCTTTAAGACGCGAGATATCACTGTGTATTGTACATCTGATTGTTGTTTATTGAATATGCGATAATTAATTATCGCATACTTAAATGACAGTGCTATCTTCCCTTCGTTGTTAAATTACTTTATTTGTATAATTATTTATTATCCCAGAATATGAAATTATTTTCTCAGTGTATAATAAATTGTTAAATTAATGAGTTCTTTTGTAGATTCAGTTTTGTTGAAGAAACATTTCGGTAAAGGTCCAAAACTGAAAGTCGGCTCTCAAGGTTGAGATATAGCTCATTTGAAAGAGCTTTTTAAATGCAAAAAATAAATGTATGGCTTCATAAACATTCAACCTAGAGAAATATTCCCAGTTTTCGATAATGCATACGCACGTAAATGCGATAAAGTTTAAATAAGCAAATACAATATTTTATTAATTATCTTAACATACTTTTTAATGCTCAGCGTAAAAAATCCAGGATATTACCTATATTGAAGGAATTAATATACAATAAAGCAAGCAAATACGGCAAAAATATCTGCTGTTGAATGACTTTGATATTTTATTAATAGCCAACAATCTGAACCATGAATTTCTCTTTTTCCTAGTTGTGCACTCTTGACAGAGTGGTCGTGGTCATGTCTCGGTCGATTCCTGTGCCACTGATGCAATCGCGATGCGTCGCCATACAGGTCGATGTTTTGCAGAGCGAGAACGATCATTTACGCTAGAGTGCGTCGCCGATTTCATAAGTTCTGTCCACCTGTCGGAGAGCGCCCGCGAGAGCTTATGTCCAACTTTTCCTTGCACCACCAACCGTTCCATGGAGTTCTCATTGCAAATAATATGCCCGAAGAATTTGAGGATTTGTATTTGCACAGTCGACGATTATCTCTCTTTGATGTTGAGTTCCCTCAGGATTGAAACGTTGGTACGGTACGCGGTCCATGGTATTCGTAGCAAACGTCTCCAACACCACATTTCCAGAGCGTCAATATTGCGATGTATGTCTTTCGTTTTGAGTGTCCACGTCTCAGCTCCATATAGTAAGATTGGAAAAGCCAAGTATCTCATTAGTCGAACCTTTGTGTTTTTGGTTATCCTACGGTCTCCTCAAATCTTTGTGAGTTTTTCCACTGATGATCTAGTCATGGCGCAACGTCTTCGAATTTCATCCTCGCAGGCCCCATCGTTGGTAATAGTGGAACCCAGATATATGTAGCTTTTGACAACCTCGCAATTCGCTATACCCTGGACGTTCGGTTATCGTTAGCCCGATCTACAATCATTATTTTGATCTTATCCCGATTGATAGTAAGTCCAAATTCCAACGCTGTCGTCTCTAGTCGATGAAGAAGCAATTCGATATCCTCTCTGGTTGACGCTAGGAGGGTAGTATCTTCGGCGTATCTTAAGTTGGATACTTTTCTGCCTCCTACGGATATTCCTTTACCCCAATCTTCAAGAAGAATCCGCATTATATACTCTGTATATATATTAAATATTAATACAACCCTGTCTTACAGCGACCTGTGTTTTAAAGTGCTCACAGTGAATATCGTCGACTCGGACAGTTGCAGTACCATCTTCGTATAGCCGTCTGATGAAGTGTATGAGGTGTTACCCCCATCTCCGTTAGTATTGAAAATGTGGTCGACATTTTCAAACATTTGACCGTATTGAAGGCTTTCCTGCAGTCAACGAAGCACACGTAGAGAACGATGTTAAATTCTCTGGCCTTTTCTACAATTTGTCTCAGAATGAGCAGCTGTTCTCTTGTACCTTCGACAGACACATAAGCTTGAAGCCTCATGTTTATAACGTGCAGCAAGATTTTACTGGCATATGAAAGAAATGAGTCTGTAGTTGCTTCACTTTTTTTTAACCATTTTTATGCAGCGGGATGAATACAGAGTGAGACCAATCATACGGACAAACTTCGGTGACCCAAATTCGACAACAGATGATGTGTAGAATTTCTACTCCAATTTCTCCCATAGCCTTTATCGTCTCAATCGGGACTCCATTGAAACCCACAGCCTTGTTCTCCTTAACATGTTTAATCGCTGCCCGTACCTCATCCTTTAGCGGAACTGGTTCTCCTTCTGAGATTTCTTCGTAGGTCATTGCAACGTCAACAGCATGGTCAGCAAAAAAAGACGCACAGTAGTCCATCCAGACGCATACAATCCACTTAATCTCCGTAACAGTAGTCCCAGTCGCGTCCTCAATGACCCAAGTCTTTGGTTTGAACTGGCGGATTATAAATCTAATTTTCTTATGTAAGTCTTTTGTTTCATACTTTTGAGAATGTCGTTCTACCTCTTCACATATTGACTGTAGCTCCATATTACGATCACGGCGGCAAGCAGCTTGTATGGTAGAACTCATGGCATTCAGTTCTTGTATTTTAGCGCCACTTCTTTTAAGCTCTCTACGCTTCTCGATTAAGTTCCAGGTATCGGTCGTCATCCAGTGCTGTTTCTTTTTGGATCTTACGTGAGGCTGAGATTCGTGGACGACATCCTTTGCAAGTTGAACGACCGATTTCCAGAGGCGATCGACGTTCTCTTCCCTGCCAAAGCTTTTGCGCCAGCACAGTTTTTTGCCCTTAAGCGACTGGACAAAAGAGTCCTTATCAAATACCTGTATGTGATTGGACGTTTTTCAGACTGTTGGCCTGCGCAATCTGATCCTCACATTACAAACCGCTCCGATCCGCACATTACAAATAGCTCATGGTCAGACATAACGCCGGCTCCGGGCAGTGTATGGGCGTTACTTATAGAGCTCCTCCATCTTGTTTTGATTAATATGTAGTCGATCTGGTTGCGGTGTTCTCCACTTGGGGAAGACCAGGTCTTCTGGGGTGGTGCTTCAAAACTGTGTTCATTATGGTAAGGCTGTTATTTTCTGCAAACTGGACAAGGCCTTCTCCTCTGCTGTTCCTGCAACCTAGACCGTAGTGCCCCACGATATTTCTCAAACCAGCATCTAGTACAGTGATGATTACTCCCCATGAATTTAACGAAGAACAAATAATCGAAATGATGAATATAATAAAATCTATGTCTCAGGTGACCGGTAGACTAGATTTTGAAAACATTGAACATATAGATTCCAATGAAGTCTATTTTTTAACAGGTCGAACTATACAACAATTCAATATTATTTTGGAACAAGTGCCATCTTTGGTAAGAACCTGCAACAGAGCAAAAACTGCATTGGCTATTCAGTTAGTAAAACTACGCACTGGTGAACCAGATACAAGATTAGCTGATATGTTCCAGATGAGTCGAACATTTCTAGAGAGACTGCTTAAACAGCTAGAGGTTGCTTTTATGAAGATTTTGTACAACTTCATTTAGGATTGAACCACCTGACTAGAGAACAGGTTATAGCAAGAAATCTTTTGATTGCTACCGCAATTTTTAAATGAAGGCAATTCTTATTTGTGACGGCACATATGTTTACATACAAAAGAGTGCTAACTTTTTGTTTCAAAAAATGACATATATTCACCACAAGTTCCAGAATATATTGAAACCATTTTTAGTAAATTGTTGTGATGGCTATATTATTGATATCACAGGGCCTTATGCAATGATAACATCTGATGTGACTATATTAAGTAGCTTAATAAACGCTGAAGGCGGTGTTTTAATTAGTTTTTTTCGAACAGATGATGTTCTGATATTAGACAGTTTCCGAGATGCTTTAGCAGATATTGAAGCTTGCGGTTATGATATATGCCTTTATCTGTACAAAGAGGCCAAAATCAATTATCTACTCTTGATGCGAATAAATCAAGAATGGTGACTCTATGTCCGTGGGTCATGGAAGTTGCGAATGTTGGCTTCAAACGCGATTTTAAGTTGTTTCGGCAAGATTATTTAATACAGCATTACTTCACATGAAGCACGATTTAAGAATTTCTGCAGCCGTCACTAAAGGCTTCCATGACCCAATAACTGATAATTGAAATGTCCAAAACATTATTGACTGAGTAAACAGTAGAGTGAATATAGAAAACTTGCTGGCGGAATATGTGATGACCAGAACCTTAACAGTAGACGAGTGAATTTCCAAAGTATGTCTGCAGAACTATCAGTGCTCCATGATTTTTCCCGTTTGAATGAGAGGGACTTGACTATTTTTGCGTTAGGGACGTACCAAATAAAATTAGCCAGAAGTTATTATGCTGAACAATGAACATGCTCGTAATGGACTTTATGTATTAGAAGTGTATAGAGACACTGAAAATCTAGCTAGTACTTTAAATAATTATAATATAAATGGTAATAACTTTTGGCTTCTAATAGGTAGATTACAATCGAGACACAAGAAGTCGCACGTATTATACTTACATTTCCATAGATATGGCTAAACAGGGATCAGAAGCATTGGGACACTATTATTGTTCATGTAAAAGCGGCAGACGTTATTATGGGTTCATGCTCACATATTATGTCATTTTTTTGGTTTCTGGGGTGGCATGCTATGACGTAATGTAATAAGCAACGTAATGTACGCAACTACGCATAAAAAATAAATGTTTGCAAAACCTAGCAGGTTGTACTTTTTATTTTAACACATGGGCGTACCGAGAGTGGAGGGGGAGCGGGTCCCCCGGATTATAATTTCACCCCTAATAATAACAGCCTTTGACATGTTTCTGAAATTGGTTAAGGTTACAACCTTCCTTCCCCCTCTGACCCAAAATTTGGGTAGACCCGTGACTTAACATCAGTTTGAACTAATGGTACAAGTGTAAAAATAAATCAATTAATGTAAAATTGAGTTTTCAGAACCTTCTTTTACGTTTTATTAAATCAAAAAGTAACGCAAAATATCTTAAAAACTCTGTATTAAAATTAAATGAGATTTTACAGATAGACATCTGTTTAGTAACTATATCGATAGGCACTGGTTTCAATCCTGGGGGCACTTGGACCAGCGTCCATACATTTTTTGCCTATTGTCCTTTCGATCGTGAATGTAGGTAAAATTTACGTTAAAACTACAATATGTGTGTATAGGTAAGTACTTAAAAAAACTAAATACGTTTTTCGTTTACTTTTTATGTGTCTTTTTTTATAAAAAAAAGATTTTTCCTTAATAATTCTTATAAACAATTAAAATATTATGCTATGCATACATTAACTAATATCTAATAATAAAAATTACATGTACATCTTGGTATATTAAAATGGTTCATATTTAAATAATCCTCAAAAAATTGTAAAAAAAAATCAATAAAAAACATACAACGGGTTACATAGGTAAAGGTTAGTGGTATTTATTTGAGAAACACATATTTTTTTTGAGGATTATATAATATAATATTTTCCTGTTAGAATCTACTTGTGCAAAAATTTATATAATAAAGTTGGGGTTTCTTTTATGATCACTTAGGATGACCAAAGAGTATGTAGGTAGGTACTTAATCACTTAAGGTGATGATTATCATTATATTCGATATGAACTACTTTTCTATTTATATCACGATGAATCTTAAATGTTGACTATCAAAACCTCATCTAAATCGTGTACATATCGATAGCCCCGATAGGAATGATTATACTAATTAAAATCTTTGGTCTTATTTTGCTGTTCTTGGTAATACTTACTACCTGGGGTAGATAGGTTGTCAGAAATAAATCGTTTCTAGTTGGTTTTGTCAAAAAAACATTATATAATTGAGTAGTTAAGAGCATATTTGTGTTATCGCTTTCTCTGTTTATTTATATATGATGAGGTAATCCTAACTAATATTATAAATGCGAAAGTGAGTTTGTTTGTTTATTTTGCGTAAAAGCACGCAGAAACTCTGTACGTATTTCAATGTGGTACGCATATAGTATATGACCTGGTTTGAGACACAGGATACTTTTTATCCCGGAAAATGTTAGGTTCCTGTGGGATTCTCCAAAAAACTAAAGATAACGCGAAGGAAGTCGCAGGTGACTGCTAGTAATTTATAATTCCAGAATAATGACAAGAAATATTCTATATTGTTTAAAATTTTCCCAAATAATGGGTCTTGACTGTTCAATTATAGACTATTTCAGCTTTATTTAAAGTTCCTCTTCAAGTTCGTGGTTTCCGATTTCATTATTATTATTTTATTATTATTATTTTATTATTATTTTTTTATAATTATTTATTGCTTTTTTGGTTACATAGATTTTTACTCCGCTTAATTACCACTCACTTCACTGCTTTAATTAAAGAGGGTTATTTAACTATACTGCAGATTTTAAAATGCTCTTTATTAATTAATCCCCTTACTTTTTGCCAAATCAAACATTGTTGTGTAATGCCGGCACTTCACTTGGCATTTTTCGAATTTACTATTTGTAAACATGACATCAGTCTGTCTTTTTAATTCCTAGCAAACATGAATAGCCAAATAAAATGCCGTCATAACACGTATTTCTTAAACATACTCAATAGGTAAACATTTTTATTTATTTATTTATACTTTATTGCACAAATGTGTGTACAAGTAGCGGACTTAATACCATTAGGCATTCTCTACCAGTCAACTGGAGAATTTTAGCAAAAATCTTAAGGTAGTGCAAAAAGAATTCATCAAATTACACATTTTGTATCAAAAGAATTAGCGTGCCCTGAAATTTTCATCTTTCAAGATTCATTGCTTACTTGTTGATCAACTCCTACTGAAATGTAATGCAACCTTCTTTTTTATGAACCATCTATATCCACCGCAATAGATTTAGAGAAAAATATTTAAGTTCCTAGAATAACATTTAACAATTTTTACCTACTTTTGTACAATGAAACAAGAAGTCTCTACTATCTTCCTTAAGTTCTAATGTGACTTTCAAGGTCCTTTGGGGTTGATGCATATCTGTCTGAGGGGTGTTTCTTGAGTGACAATTGATGAGTCGGTAGTGCTACTGGACCTGCTTGATCTGCTATGGAACGATGATGGATGCCACTTCGATTCCCGGAAGCTCATGTATCTGCAAAAGAAACAGTTTTTTTTATGTGTAACATCTTTCCTCTCGCTTTCCTGCAATTTGTGGGAGTGATTTCGTGAAATGGGACCGAAGTGTGTAACAGGAAGCCGCGACAGCGCGCGCTATTTAATTCGATTTTAGAACATAATGTTCAAATGGTTTATTCCTTTTGTAGTAGGTTTTATTTCTTTTTTTTACTAATGTAAGGTGAGGTTTCAATTGTTACACATCATACGCGACTACTGTAAGGCTTGCTCGTTTTTTTTATACTCACACCAATCAGCCTAGCCCCAAAGTAGGCATGTAGAGCTTGTGTTAAATAATAATACTAGAGTAATATAGAAATACAAGAAATTGTACAGAGATAAGTATATTTTTGTAGAGACATATAGGTAAAGTTCTTGAGCAAAACCACAAACAAATAAATTTGCGCAGTAGATGTTTTTGTATGTAAAAAAAAATTGCTCCTGTGCACGATTCTTTGTCTATTATTTATCGTTGCTTAAGAAGTTTGGCGGGTTGTATACCTGAGTATGGCTCTATTAATTACATACAGCCATGACTCAGATATAAACTATTTTATTACTTTTCCCAATATAATATTCATAATGGCCGGGAAAAGTAATTAATCATGCTGTTTTAATCACATTGTACGACTGAGTCGGGCATTATGAATACAGACCGGCCATTATTAATAGTACCCAGACTTTTTTTTTTTTACATTAAATAGGCTTACGCTTGACGGCCACGCGACTGATGAACAGCGACGTAGCAGCCTAAGGTGGGACGCGCTTGCCTAGAAGAAACCGATTGACTCGCGACTTGAAGAGCCCCAGATTATAGGTGACTGGAAACAGAGATTCCGGCAAAGAGTTCCACAACCTAGCTGTTCTGACTATATAGGTGGAAGCAAACCGTTTAGTACGAGTTTGTGGGATCTCTACGGTATATCTGTGGCGTTTTGCCGTCTCTCTGGTGGTTCTGTGGTGAAAAGGGAAGGCACACTCTCCGAAATGTAACCGGTAAAAAACCGATAAAGAGGCAACTTTTCGCCTGTGTTCAAGGCTTTGGAGTCTAGTCTGGAATAATTTGTCGTCACCAATGAGCTTCCTTGCACGCCTCTCAATGCACTCCAGAGACTCTAGCTGATATTTTGCAGAACCGTCCCAAAGGTGCGAACAGTACTCCATGCACGAACGAACTTGTGCTTGGTACAAGGTGAGCAGCTGTTCCGGAGTAAAGTACTTGCGCACCCTTGCGAGGACGCCAAGCTTTTTTGCAGCCAGTTGAGCTCTGGACTCAATGTAGGTACCGAAGTTGAGAGTTGAGGTGAGAGTTATTCCTAGAAGCTCGAGCTGTTCGGTTACCGGCACGGTTACACCTCGGAAAGAAGGGGCCAGTTGAAACGCCCTCTTTTTAGCGGAGAACAGACACGCCTGAGTCTTGGAAGCATTAAACTTGACCAGATTGGCATCGCCCCAATCGGAGACTGCCTGAAGGGACAAGTTTAAGCGGTTGACCATGGCTTCTCGGAGTGACTTATCTAATTGCTCGTTACATATATATTGGAAAAATAAGAAACTTAAAAACATTTATCTTGACCAATATTATCTAAGATTTTAATATAGTGTATTAAGAAAAGTGTTGTTTAATAATCAAAATAATTTTATTTGCATAATCAATATTTTTTTAAAGATATTCGAGTGAATAGCGATCATGGAAGTTAAGCAACTTTAGCAATGGTCGGTCATTGGATGGGTGACCTTAAAAACTTATTATCTTGAGCTCCTCCGTGCTTCGGAAGGCACGTTAAGCCGTTGGTCCCGGCTGCATCTGCAGTCGTTAGCGCTTATTAATCCACAATGGGCCCGCGTGGTGGTCCAATCTCCCTATTCCATTCATGGGTGCGTTTGTTCATGAAAGATTTCTTTACCAAGCAAAAAGATGCTAAGTAAAAAAAAAGGTGTGCATCTCGGGACGCATGGCAGAAGTGATGATAACTTAAACTAATCTAAGTTAATAATAATCCAATCTCACGTTACTGTGAGAGCCTGCTTACCGCTGCCGTATACGTGAGAGGAAGGGAAGCCAGACAGACTGTTGCCGCCGCCGTAACGTATGACGTAACGAAGCGGTTTACGCTCCCTTAAGGAGTAATCACTTCGTTGAATGAAACATATTCTAATAGACAGATAATCTTGTCATTCTGGTTTCCAGTTTTTCAATATGGGCTTTATTACTAATTAGAATTGCTGGTTGTTCTTCAGCTTTTTTATAAATACTGTTTTTGGGCAATCCCATAGCATTTTTATTGCTCTTGTTTGATTAATTGACGTCCGAAATATAGCTGCTTGGAGTTAAGTCTCAAGTCTTTTTGAATGTGTACTGGAATGGGAGATCCACTTATTCCAAAGTGGGAAGAATAAAGTTTTTTTGTCTGATTCGATAAATTATTATCTCTAACGCAGGTGAAGGTTGCTTGTTCAGTAGCAATGTACATCCACACGCTTTCGCGGTCCAGGGGGAAACAGGGGACTTTCAACTGGTATTTTAAGTATGTGGATAAAGTTTAAAATTACTTGACACTGAACTCACTGGTGCTCGCCGCGTCGCTGCCAGCCGTTGTCATTTCGATGTGAATTGCCCCCAATAAGTTATAAAGCAACAAAAAAGTACGAACCTCTTCACGAGCTTCTTAAATATTTTCTTTTTGCACACAAATATGAGGAAAATGGCGAATCCGACAAGCAGATTGAAGGTGTCCGAGATGTACCAGATGTTGTAATCGGGCATGAAGGAGCTCACCACCTCTAGGAGCCAATTCAGACCCATAAGGACTGACAGCTTTACGTAAACCATTAGTCTGGAAACATTAAGACAAATACTAGTATATTCGTAAACAAAAGTAAGATAGAAATATCGATACAGATTTTTTAAGAATTTAACTGCTACATGTTGAAATCTAGCACCACAAATCTATTACCACAAAACATTCAAAACGCTTTAAAAAATAATGAAGCTACACTGAAGCAATAATTTTGTAACCAATTACTGAACAAGTATAAGAATTCACAAAACAGTTTTGTAAATTTTACATAACTGTTTTGTTATAACAACTAAACTATTTTAACAAAACCGAGTTTGTCTACTAGTAACTATAGTTATGTTTATACTGGCCAATGACAGAAAAGCTTGTACTAAGTAGTTGGCTTCCGTAAATATAGTCTGGGATAAGATAATGTGTTAAAAGAGGTAATGAGTACTAGAATTGGAGTGTCCAGCTGAGCAAGTGTTCTCCAAGAACCAAACAGCGCTATAATGTTGTAGTGTTTCTGTAGTGTGTAAAGATGACAGAGCTCCATATGGTACAGGATAAGTCAGGATAAGCAATCAAGGGTCCGTGATCCCATCGGTTTGTCCTCCGCGAGTGGTAATCCTTCTAACAGACAGTGTTTAAACTGATCTGTTGCAAATTCGTGGCGGACACACTTATCGAAAACAACTACTAGGTGAGCCAAATTATGATCGCCGTTAGGCGTGCCGTATCACGCTTAAAGTTGAGCTGAATATTCTAAATATTTAACTAACAAACAATGAACAGTCATCCACTGACCTATGACGATGGGTCCTATGTGCTACGGTATTGCCAGCTGCAGCCGAGTCCAGAACAGCCGTGCCTCTGCTTAACCGCCAGATGTTGAACGCAGTCATCAGGAAAAACAACCAGTTGAGCAAGATCATAATCAGCATTGGACAGTAGAGGTACAGAAATTTCTCACCTCCTGAAATAAAATATGTTGCACTGTTGAATTTGATGATCAGCGTCTATGTCATCTTACAGTCAGTTTCAAATAAATTATTACTTATCAAATACTACACTAATAGCGAATGATAAACATAGAATGAGTCAGCTCTTTACAGCCCTCTAAATTAATAAATATTTCCAACTCTCACATCAATTAGCATAGCCCCAAAGTAAGCACTGTAAGGCTTGTGTTAAGAACTAGGGTAACGGATAGAATACATATTAATCATCCATGACTGGAGTACAAATGCTCATATTCATCACACAAACATCTGCCCCCACCGGGATTCGAACCCGGGACCTCTCGAGTCGGCGAGACCTTGAAACCCGGCTTACAAACAACACGGCTACGGAGGTCGTCTATAATAATATAAACTAGAATTCCTTTAGAACAGAGATAGTTAGCTATTATAGCGATATGTTTTTGCCATTCTGTTTTAATCTAAGTTGTAGTCTACTAGTCCGATAGACCGACACGCATTTAACTTTTAGTTTTTTTTAAGCTTTATAATATCATTGAAATATCATCATAAATTGGAGAATTATTAACCTTAATTTATTAACAAATCACAAAGTTACCTTCTAAGAAACATCCCTTGTCAGGGATCTTCGGGAGTACCAACCACGGGATATGTTGGAGATCAACCGAGTTTAAGAAGTAGAGACTTATGGTCATCGCCAGCGGAAGTCCCCAAGCATAGAGAGCGTACATCAAAAACTTGAACTTCTCGCCGCGTCGATGTATGGGACGAGCTTTTGCGTAGCCTCTGCAGAAAGAAATATGTAAATTAAATTTTTAAAATAAGAAACTGGGTCCCTCTTCACAGGGTAGGCACTCGTCTATATGATGCACGACGTCCAAATTATGATCGAATCGGAAATTATATAACTCATAAACAATTACTATAGAAATGGGTACATGTCAATAAAAATACAACTAATCATTTATTAAATTTGAAAATTAATTCAAAATATCAACATATTAATTATGTCACAAAGAAAAAATATATCAATAAATTACATTATTTAAAATTCAATATTTTCCATCAAATAAAAATAGTTAAAAATCAAAAGTCAAGTCAAATGTATTATAATGTCATACACAAAATGAATATTAAAATGTCATACACATAACTTCTTATTTATATCAGACCGCATTTTTGAATATTAAATAATATACATGGTTCTAATTTGGCAATACGAAAGTCAGGTAATTGCCCGACTTGCATTCAGTCGGGTACGCTCTTTCGCCGCGACTAGACTTCGCTACAACGCGTAAATAATTTATGACAAAAAGCCCTAAGTGAGTTTATCAAAAGTATACAAATTATACGGGAACTATTAGAGACAAGAAAATGAAGTTGTGGTGGGGACTACTTGTGCCATTTTAAAATGCAATAATGTTGGGGTATAACCTGTCTATATATTATACGTTATTTACGTCCCGTATTAATAGATTGCTCTCAACTCTGAGAGCGATCTTGAGTACGATCTTAAGATGCTATTTTGTATGAAAACAGTATAGCGATCTATTAATACGGGCCTAAAATCGACTTCTTAAACTATGTCTTCATGACGGCGCTATACTATATAGCGCAATAGTACAGTGTAGTCTGAATGCATTTTAACTCAAAGACAGAATACTTAATTAAGATCATTTACCTGAATGTCCACCAGATGTCATATGACATTACATTCATCCAACAAAATGTAGCCAGAAAGAAGAAGTACGTAAACATGGCTGAAAGAAAAAATATATGTTTATTTGAAAAAAATTCGTGCTTATGCAAAACAATCGCAAGTTTATGATTACAAAAGGCATTTTAAATTCAAAAGGTTCAAAGCTATTGCATGCATATAACATCAAATCAATTTTATTTCAATAGAATATTGATCAATCTATGATAGTAACAATTATTGTCACTTAATAAATAATATGTCGATGTATTTTTTTCTGTTTATTTGTGGCAACGAACAGTCATACATTTTTAAAATAATTGTTCTGTGGTTACAGTGAAATTGTAAGAGACAACCTACAGTTCTTGCAATTGAACTGATGATGTTTAAAACAACATCATAGAAACTGTAGAAACAACTGACGTTCACAGAAAATAATCTAGAGACAAAATCTCTGTTTACAGATACACCCAACGACACAAGAATACTTACTAAAGGTAATGCAGTTTTTGGGAGACAACGTTCCCTGTATAACCAGTAGTGATATGAACGCAAACATCAGACTGATAACGTACGCCATCAGTACCAAACCTCCGAGGTTCCTCAATTCGGGCAGTAGACTATATACCACGAGCACGATAAAAAAAAATACGCAGGAAATAATCATCGCTGTAATCAAAAGAGCATTTTTACGTTTTATGATAGATTTGGCGCCAGAGCAAATTAAAATGAAACCATTTTACGAAGACATTAGAAAAAGTCATAGCTTGTCTTACCTATTCTAAGATATAGATTGCTTGGCGCTTTTCCGTTTCCATCAAATGTTACCCAGATGCCTAAGGTAACCTCTTTGTTATTCTTAGTTGGAATTGAGAAATCCAAGCAGTAGTCATATACATTCCGGGTTTGCCATCTCTGGAATGCGTTCGGATATTCCAAATAAAGCTTTCCGTTCTGAAAATGTGATCAATACTTAATTACTAATGAGCAAATCGGTGGGGCATACTGGGCATTTGGGATGACCAAAGAGTTGTTAAAGGTAAAAGCAAGGATTACCTAGAATTCAACTTTATACTGACAAAATGCCTATTTACAATATTCTACAGACAGTTTTACTGAGAAAAATATTAACTTAGTAGTAAACTTGAAGCATGTTCTACTATTTATTATAATACATTGTTTTGAAATTATTGAATCATTGTGGTTAAAATAATGAGTAAGTGTGTGAATTAGTTCATTGTTCATCATTGTATTGAACGAAGATAACAATTCTGTTGTCTGATAACGCACAGGCGATGTGCTAGCTAACTTCTAATTATACATACTTGCAATTAATGATAACTTAACATCCCACCCAAAAAGTATAACACCCCAAACATTAAGTATTGTGTAGTATTAGATATTGAAGGGTTAGGTTACGTGTAAGGCGTCGTCTTTAAACTGCTTTCATGGTTTCACGAACGGCTTTCAGTTGCAATGTTTCAATTGACTTGAGTTCATTCCTACCAATGCGTTGCTTATCGTATATACCTATATATTAAATACGTATATTCGTTAAATTAACAAAAGGATATTTGTAAACAAAGTGCCCTCCGAAATTGTAACAAGAAAATCAACTGTTATTAAAATCTGATAATAGTATTTTCTTTACATTAAAATAGCTTCGAAACTAAATTATGACTTTAAGGTTACTGTTTGATTTGAGTTTTATAAATACATCCTACTTACTAATATTATGTGAAACTTTGTATATTTGTTACTCAATCACATATAAATAATAGCCAATTTGACATATTATTTAGGTATAGTTTATAATCTAGATTGATACAAAGAATATATAATATCTATAAAGGATACTTTGATCATGGGAAACATACACCTATATATATATACATATATATAAATTAGTCCCGATTATTGCAGCAAAATATAATGAAAACAAAACATTCCTTACCACAAGAACCTAATTTGTTTATTTAAGGAATAAGGAAACATATAATGTTTTGAGTAGTAGTATTGATCTATGTGTAATATATACGAGTATATGAAACCATTATTGAAAAATAATGATCCATTCTTGAATATATAATGCTCCCCGACTGTTAAAGTAGCTTTGTTCCTTACTTAATAGAATTATTAGATTTCTGGACTAGTTTTTTTCTTTTCAGTTTTTATTTGAAGTAACTATTAAGCAGTCGTGTTTTTAGATTTTTCAAATTTACCTTTTTTTTTGTCATGAAACTCAAAAGGGTTGGTTTGTTATTGTTGGTTGAGTTATTGTTGTAGAGAGTTTCCAAAGCCACCTAAAAGGACCTTAACTTTTGGTACTACATGTCAAAAACAAACATGAATCCAAACTCGGAGTTGCGTTCAGTTGTGTCAAATTGTCGCAGGGCTCCCATGGCTAACTTTTATCTCTATTATATTATCAGATCTGTACCCCTACCATGAACCAATATCGAATTCGAATAGTTTGCGAGTACGATATGTCATTGTGAAATTTTGTATGGTTTGAACAACAGCGCTATAACGGACGTAACGAGAACTAAAAATGAGTACATATTTGACAATGAAATCTCGAACTCGCAAATAATTCGAATTCGATATTGGTTCGTGCTAAGGGTACAGATCTGTACCCCTAGCATGGACCAATATCGAATTAGACTAGTTTGCGAGTACAAAATGTCATTGTCAAATTTTGTATGGAAACTTAAACGGCATCGCCAAAACCGACGTTACGAGAACTAGAAATCAGTACATATTTGACAATGAAAATTCGTACTCGCAAACTCAATAGACAAGTTTTTGTAAGTAATGTCATTTATTGACATAATAAGAGTAGAAATCAATATGAACGTCGGAAATAACAACCAAGATTTCAAATATATTAAGTGGCTGTGTACACACACACTAAAATTGCAAAATTACACAATATAATTCGAATAGGTTCCTTAGTTATGTTAGTGAGTTTAGATACAAAGTCAGTGTTTCAATTGTTAGTTCTTTACTATATTTGCTCATGTATGTGTGCTTATATTTTGATTATGATTATTATGATTTTACTCTTTCTAATTAGTCGAGTCAATGAAGCTTTTTACCTGGAAACCCGGTGGAACAGCTTCGATTTTGATGATTTTTTTTTTAATAATTTTGTTTTTTTATATTATTTGAAATCAGAAACCTCTGGAGAGGGGGAAATAATTTTTTATATTGTTTAAACAATTTTTATGACATTTTTGGAAAAAAATGTTTTTTTATAAAATATCAATTGACAATATCAATGACATGATGCTGATATACCTAAAAAGTTAGGATATATTTCATGAAATATAAGAAATTAATAGTTTCATTATTAACATAAATAAAAAAAATATATGATATATATATATATTGGGTCAGAGGCCGCGCTTAGGAACTAATAACGCATCCTAAGCTCCCGTAGCTACTGGCGTTTGGCCAAGGCCGTGCAAAAAACCTTCTGCCAGCCCCCGCTGCCACCTCTGAGATGCCCAGACGGAACACTAGCTCATAAGCCGCAGGAGAAAGCCGATTTACTGGCAAAACTCTTTGCGGCTAACTCCCGAATCGATAATTGCAATGCACTACCACAATCATTACCTCACTGTGGCACAACGATGCCTGATATTAAAATCAGGCAGTGTGAGGTTCGTGCCGAATTGCAATCACTCGATGTCCGGAAAGCTAGTGGACCTGATGGCATCCCAGCAGTAGTACTGAAAAAATGTGCAACGGAGTTGTCTCCCATGCTCACGCGCTTGTACCAATGCTCGTATTCTTTGGGGCGTGTGCCGGAGACTTGGAGAGATGCTTACGTGCAACCGGTGCCCAAAAAAGGGGATCGCTCAGACCCGGCAAACTACCGGCCAATAGCAGTCATCTGAGTTTTATGTTAAGTTCTAGAAAAGCTCCTTAATAACCATCTGACCCGTCATCTTATTTTATATTTATTTTATTTATTTATCATCTTCAGGGCACAACACTACCGCTACAGAGCAACATTTCCATGCTTGGTATGGAAGTTCGCTCAGACCTGAATCCAAAGGACTACATCGAAACCGTGATCAAAACAGCTTCACGCAAACTCGGAGTCCTGAACAAGGTGCGGCGTTCTTTCACTTTTCAAAACTGTGCTTGTTGTACAAAACGCAGTTGCGGTCCTGCGTGGAATATTGCTTGCACCTCTGGGATAGCTCCGCCAAGTACTTGCTCGATGCTTTGGATAGGTTACAGCGGCGCGCGATCCGCATCATAGGCGATGAGGAGGTGACTAAACACCTTGAGCCGTGACGCGGCGTCACTAAGCGCGTTCTATCGTCTGTACCACGGCGAGTGTTCTGAGGAGATTATTCTCTCTTATCCCACCTTCCCCTTTCCTTCAGAGGACCACGCGCACTGGCCTACGTTGTCACCGTCTTACTGTGGCCACAATTCCAACTCGTACAAAGAAATTTGGTGATTCATTTCTTTGTCGCACTATCCGTAAATGGAATGCTCTGCCCGCTCACGTGTTCCCTCCCTCTTACAACCTGGGATCCTTTAAAAGTGGCGTGAAGAAGCAACATGCAGGCCGGCAGGGTGAGGATGGCTGGTGTGGCAGGTAGAACTGCTGTATCAGCTATCTTCGCGTCTGGACTTCACCTTCACTTAACATCAGGTGGGGTGGAATCATTTGTCGGACCTATCTATAAAATATAATGTATATATATGAAGTAACTAAAATATAGCGTAAGTGCTCAACGCATTCGTATTATGGACCAATACATCGTATTTTAATGGTTTAAATATTAAATTATTATTAAAAGCCTCATTTTAACAACTATTTTTTATACTAACATTAACATAGTAATATTTTTTTAAAAAAAAAAAAGCGACCAAACTTTTTTTTTTATAAAAATGTCATAAATATTGATAAACAATAAAAAAAATTATTTCCCCCTTTTCAAAGGTTTCTGATTTTGAATAATATAAAAAAACCAAATTTTCAAAAAAAAAATATCAAAATCGAAGCTGTTCCACCGGGTTTCCAAGTTTTGCCTGTTTTATGTCTTTATTGACTCGACTAAATCTATTTCAATAATTTAAGTGCTTTCTGTTTTTGCAAAGTCTATTAGACTAAAATACTTACAGGATAAGACCGAGTTTAGAAAAATAACTTCAACTCTCATAGCGACACCACACTATACTATGTGGCATTGGTTGGTTTTAATACGTCAACTTTGCAATAACTGAATAATTATGTACCAATTTTTTTATACGAGGCGCAGCATATTACCCCATCTCATGATGTTAAGTGTAAGTGGAGTTCCGTTGCGAAGATAGATGATGCCGCAGAAAGTTTGCCACTTCAGTCATCCTCGCCGTACTGGCCTGAACTCAATCCCTTACTCCACGGAACCCAGGAACCTAACTCACCAGCAGAAACACAAATCCACCCAAAGGTAAGGTTATTTTACTGTGGTCTACTGTAAGGTGGGGGCTTCCCCAGAGGGGCTTTCTGGCGGAAAATTCGTCTTACCTCTTCTAAAAACTCTCTCAAACAAACCAGCGCTTTTTTAGACTTATTATCTTGAATGAATAAAACCACCTTAATATTGAAGAAATCTATATCAGCAGTCACTGCCGGATTTAGGGCAGGGCAACCGGGGCGAAAGCCCCGGGGCCTCCACAAACGGGGGGCCCTCGCAATAGAGACTTCGGAAAAAAAAATCTTTCAAATTCCAACTAGTAAACACTAGTAAACATCTTTTCCTTTGATATTTTTTTTTTGCTCTTTTACCTACTTTGTACATCTAACATACATGATTATTTGATTATATTAATCTCAGGGCCGAATTAAAGGCAAGGCAGGTGGGGCTGTGGCCCAGGGGCCTCCACAACAGCTTAAGAAATAACAAAATTTCGATGGGTCAGCAAGCATGCAAATCCTAAGGGGCCCGGCGCCTCTACAACAGGATAAAAGATAACAAAATTTCGATGGGTTAACAAGCATACAAATCCTAAGTGGCCCGTGGCCTCCACAATCCTAAATCCGACCCTGTCAGCAGCAATGATTACTTCACAGTTATTCTCTCTGTTTATTCTTTAGGCGCATCGTACTTGAATTATAAATTTGAAATTAACAATTAAATACTCACTTCTAATATGTAGCCCTTGAACCGGATCAGCGCTTGCATTGTGTAAAGCTTAAAAGTTTTGTTACTGAAGGCGTTGGTTTCAAATACGAAAGAGTCCTGCACCGTCTTTCCTGTTGGATTTAATTCTTCATCATAGACTGGATACGATATCTCCAGTTTCCTCTCAGTGTACGGTACGCATAGTTTTACGCGTAGTTTCCTCTGAACATACAACTTTTCCGGGCAGCACTTCTTCAAGCATACACCTTTTAGACACAACGAAGAGTTCAACCCCACGAATTGTATACCAATAGTATTTTCAAAATAGATCGAAGACATTAAAAAAAGCTCCAGCAATAACTTAAATGGCTTCGACCACCTCATTGCGACGTGCTATTGGTGCCGTTACGATTAAATTTGTGTTGCGAATAATTTAATTAATTTAGAACTAATTACAGAATGACGTAATCCGTCGTCGATTTTCCTGAAACTGTAGGTACATTTTAATAGGAATAAGCTGTTAATAAGAATGTTTGTTTATAATTAACGGTATGTTTTCTGTTAAAATAATTAATTGTGTTATATCCCTAAAGGGAAGTGAAACAACGATGAATCACCATGGGATCAATAAAATTTGTTTACCTATAAAGAGTACAATTTGTCTTGCAATATGTTATTACCAAGCAGCTTTTTCAAGTCAAAGATCAATTCATCCTCTAACTATCCTTGGCATTCTGCTCCAAAAGTCCAAATTTCGAAGCACAGAAAGGGGTTTGTTGTATACGAGTCGAAATACATATACCATGTAACCACCAACTTATGGTTTTGTAATATTTATGTTTCCATAGTTTAAGGCGACTTCCTCACCAAGTCGGTGAGGGTTTGTTTTGTTTTCGTTTCTATACTGATTCTGTACAGATTCTTTACCGAGAACCACTTCTTGAGCGGTTCCGTTTTGGTGCGGCATTGTTTCGTTTTGTTTGCGGGAGTGACGGGACGGGTGAGTCGAATGGTTCGGTAGTATTCGGAAGCACCCGGTACAGAGAGCTAAGTATCCGCTCGGCAAAGATTCTCTACGGAATCTACTCAGTGAGGAAGCTCTCATTTAATTTTATGTGTTACCGGCAATCTGTATAATCCGGTATTCTATACAATACCTAGGCAATGTAAGGGATGTCTAAAATGTCAAGGCAATGTTTGAAATATTATTCATCTTAAATTCCGTTCATCATTTTCATTTTACTGTAGGTCGTTGGTTTTGGTTAGGATATATACAAGCCAAATCTGTTTATTTTACACTTTTCCGGTGGAACGACAGGAGCTCTATACAATTCCTAGGAATTGTATACATTACCTAAGACAAAGTATAAAACAAAATAATATTTATAATATTTCATATATTTCTTAGACCCCCTTGGCATTCTATACATTGCACTACCTTATCAGGTCATAAATTCTGTCACATGTTTAATATAAAATAATTGAAACAAGTTTATTCATTGTGTAACCATTTATATACCAAAATGAACTTAACAAAACATAGATTCTTATGATAATACAGTTTATTCAAAGTGACCTCCGTGATTTTGAATGCAGGCCTTCAATCTGCGCGGCCAGTCGTCTATCGCAGCACGAACGAGGTCCATGTCAATATCGGCGGCTGCCTTAATCAAGGATATCTTGAGTGACTCCAAATTGGGATGAGGCTTTGAGCATGCCTCTTCCTCCAAGTGTTGTCATATCTTGTAATCTATCGGATTCAAATCTGGACTGGAGGAGCGCCAGTCTTCGTGCCGGATGAAGTCGATTTCACGCGCCGCCAGCCAGTCTTGTGTGCTCTTCGCTCTATGAGCTGGCGCCGAATCTTGTTGGAATACCCAGTGCCTGTTATTGAACATAGTATGAGAAACAGGTTCCACAAGGTTCGTCAGGACTGTATTTTGATACACAACTGCATTCGTTTTTACACCTTTCTCACAAAAGTGTTCCTCTGTTAAGCCCCAATAAGAAACTCCCAACCATACCATGAGCGAGGATGGAAAATAACCTCGTTGGACTACGGTTGCTCGCTTCTTCACTACTGTGTGCGTACACCTTATCATTTTTTTTGTTTAGCTCTCTTTGACGGTAAAATTTTTTTCATCCGAAAAAAGAATTTCCCGATATCTTTTCCCGGGTATCGCTTCAACAAAGCGCGGCATCTCTTCAGTCTGAGGTCCATTAGATGAACATTCAAACGATGTCCTATTTTTCTTCGATATGCCCGAAGCTCTAAGTCTTCATTTAACACCCTTTTCACCGTAGTTCAGCTTAACTCCATCTGAAGGGCCAACAGTTTCTGCTTACGTTTGGGATTTCTTTGAATTCGCGCCTTCACAGCTTTTATCACTGCTGGAGTCCTAAAAGACCGAGAGCGACCATTTCTTGACCTGTCATCATACACTAGAGTCTTCATTGTATCGTTTGATGGTACGATAAATGAATCTTTTGGTTATATTAATTTTTTTCAGTATGTCAAAAAATTTAATTGGCGCGTAACCACAATGATGCAACGCAATAACTGCAACACGGTCTAATTTGAGCGTCCACTCCATATTTAAAAATGAGTGAAATTCTTAAAAGTATACACATTTATTTTCATGAACAATTCGAAATTCGAATTCAATAAACTTTTTTGTGGCCAGCATTCTAAAAGAAAAGTTTTTACTGTGTGACATTACTTATGACCTGACTGTGTATATAAAATATTTGTAATATACAGATTGCCGATGACATGTACCAGACCACTCAGAAAGTTTTGCGAAAAAAAGTTTTATGTTTAAGATACTGGCCTCTAGTATTATTTTGAAAACTACGATTATTAAAAGTTAAAATAACACTGCTCGATTTCCAAATTTCCCTCCGCGTTTTTTCGAGAGCGTATTAATTTTAATTTTTTCTTGTCTCTTTAAAAAATGGATCTGCATCGAGAACATTTTCGTGCTATGATTTTCTACGATTTTAAAATATGGCTTAAAACCTGATGAGTCATTTGATCTATTTCGAACTGCTTTTATGGATGAAGGACCTTCAAAAGCAAACATCTACCGCTGGTGTAGCGAGTTCAAACGCGGTCGTCTTACTTTGGGGGATGAACAAAGGAGTGGTCGTCCTACGTCGTCTGTCACAGGAGAAAGAGTGCTGACAATAAAAAAAATAATTCATGAAAACAGACGAATTACGTACGAATAGATTCAGAATACTCTGCAGATTGGTTCAGGTAGTGTTCACAAGATTTTGCACGAGCTCCTTTGTGTAAGGAGGTTAGTTTCCCGCTGGGTGCCGCACAACCTCACCGAAGCTCAGAAGCAGGCCCGTGTGTATGATACAAAATTTTGATGCAAGCTCGTCACTGCGCGTTTACGATATTTTGACAGGTGACGAATCCTGGATTTATCAATACGATCCAGAAACAAAGCGTCAGTCGACAGTTTGGCTGTTTCAAAATGAACCAACGCACAACGAAAGTGAAGCAATCGAGGAGCGCAGAGAAAATTTTGATTGCTAGTTTCTTCACTTTGACGGGGTACCTAATTCCAATTCCATTTCGAGACTAAAGCAGCATCAACGCTGAATGGTATAGAACAAAATGCCTGCCAGAAGTTTTTTCTGCAATGAGCAACAAGCGACCTAACACCGGGCTCCGTGGGGTCATTCTTCACCACGAAAACGCGCCCGCACACTCTGCGATCGAAACGAAGGACATCCTGGACTCCACACCAGTCAGTCTTGGGACACCCTCCTTACAGTCCTGATTTGCCGACGTGTGACTTATTTTTATTCAATATATTTCCTAAAATAAAAAACCAGCGCAAAGGGATACAGTTTTCATCGCCGGAAAAAGCGCTAGCAGCGATTGAGAAGGCCATGGAAGAGGTGTCTGCGGAGGACTGAGCAAATGTTTTGAAAGTTGGTTCAGACGCATGAAACTTTGTATAGAGACTGGTGGAGAGTTCTTTGAAAAGATTAAATAAAAATATTTTTTTCATAGAAGTTAGTTTCATAGAAGAAAGTTTAGAGAAACTAAAATTCTCTAAACTTTCCAAGTGTCCCACGTATGTACTTATTAATTAAGATGCTTTTATAGGAACTACTCCATTTATTCTCGGCAAGCGCCACCTGGTGGATGATGATGGCAATGGATAATGAAGACCATAAATGGCTACAGAAACAATCAGTAATATAAGTTGCGATACGAAATTCTCGGATACGTCATTTTACCCACCTGGATTCACTTTTCATGAAAAGTTACTGGCCGTCTAAAAATCCACCCGTTTTTTTAAATCTCATAATATGAAAAAAGGCTAATTGTCAAGAATGGAAATGGACGGTATGCTGTCAAATACAATCACCGCTTATTTTGCAACAGCAAAATGGTAGGTATTACGTGTGTTTGGTTTGTGTTTATATATTTTGCACCGTGTTTTTTTTTATAGTAATTGATAAGAAAATGTCACCATTAAGGCGTCAAAATATCGGTCGGCGAACGTAACAACTACGGGGTCCGGTCGTCGGTCTTGAATCTATACTAATATAATAATATTATAAAGAGGAAAGATTTGACTGTTTGTTTGTTTATATTGGATAGGTTCCGATACTACTGATCCAATATAAAAAGTTTTTTCACATTAAGAATCCTACATTATTCCTGTCACTAGCGCTGGTATAAGTCGCGGCACGGAACTCTTGTGCTGACCTTTATTGCGCAGAAGTAAAAATTAAGATGTCTTGTGGGGAAACAGAGGTGCGCGGGCGAGCGTGCGTTGCACCGATTGGCTCTCCAGTAGTACCTATTCCCTCTGCATTTTGTTCAGCGATAAAGTTACGTGCCGCGACCTGTACCCCAAATCTTGTCTTGTGGTCGTCAGTTAAGTATAGGACACTATTGAGGTTTGCTAATGGCATCGGTGCCCTCCCCCCTCCGGCTACAGCCCTGGGTACTGGGTAACTATCAGGCGGATGGCATCCTCCTTTGGCAACCTCGTGGTTTGTAAAAAAAGTCAAATAGTTGTTTTTAACCATTCTTTACTCAAAAGATACAAATGCATGCATATAATAGTAGTAACACATTGAAGGCGATATAGTACACCAATGAGATTTGACTATGGATATCTTATCTCGAATGTGCACGAACATCCATAATATTTATTGCAAAGTTTGCCATCCTCTTGATAAATTCTGAAGGCGCGGCGCAAACGGGGCGGGTTGAACAGACTTTATGAGCGCGAATCATTTGTTTCCCGTGGTCCACCTCGTAGTCCACCCAGGTGGACCACGGGGTTTATTTTTTTCCCATGGTCTACCAGCATAGCCATATGTTTCTAACAGTAAATTTGGATGTTTCATATCAACAAAAAAGCAGTTATAATTTTTAAAATTATTTAATTAGCGTAGTTTTTCTAAAGCGATTCCTATAGAAATATTGTCTGCATCTGAATATCTTTTATATAATCATTGTTTTCAATAAATTTGCACCATTTTGATTTTGCAATACTTATTGTGCTCAAGACACTCAAGAGCCGTAATAAATTGAGGAAGAGTCAGGTGGCCCAGGGGAAAAATTATTTCCCGTGGTTCAACCAGGTGAACTACGGGGGGGGGGGGGGGGGGGAAATACCCGTGGTCCACCTGGTGAACCACGGGAAACAAAGGGCGCGAAGCAATCGCCAGACGATTAGAAAACACTCCGTTCTAGAAACGAGGGTACTGACGATGGAGCAATTTCAATTGGTCGTTAGCCTGTGTTCGGGTGCATGAAAGACATTACTCGATGTAGGGTACTCAATGCAATAATTGCATTGTAACTTTCAGGTTGGAACGTAATCAGTGATGCCAGATTGGGGGTACTCCCCTCAAATTTTACAAAAAAGCATTTTCGGAAGACATTTGGAGAGAAACTGTCTGGTACTGCTGCTTGAAAGGAAATTAGTCGTTGGTCCAAATTCCATAGGCAATCGTATATGAGCTAACGACAAAGTGTAATTGCGCCTTTAGGCGAGGCGGTCGTTTTGTCTACTTTGTGCATTAGCAGTATATATCTCATTGTTCTATCGTTCGTGGCAAAATTTTCCGGACCGATCCGCTGTTTGTGCCGCACCTTATATATAATAGGGTATTTGACAAGTTTTAGAAAATGATCTTACGTTATTGACTAATGATTACGGAGTCCGTAAAAAGTGGATATTCATCATTCTGTTGTGTATTTCAATAAAAATAACCAAATCAAAAACTCCATTTGCAAGTTGCCGCGAAAACTGGACGTCTTACTAGTGTGTGACGTCACACGACTTTTATCAAAACGTCAAACGATACAATGTAATGTCACTTTGACCGGAAGTTTACTTGCTTGTGACGTCATTTTAGGCTCCGCCAATCCCAAGCGTTTTGGGTCACGTGACAATAGATAAGAAAACTCTTTATCGTGGGTTTTGAGCAAAATTATGAATATTTTTTTTGTAAAAATAGTAAAAACCCCTACCAATATTCATTCTAAACACAGATGTTAAAAATTGGTACTTTATTTTTAATACTGTCAAATACCCTATTAAGAAATTTTGAAATGCAATTGGATAATGCTCCCTTTCTATTTGGAACATATATTAATATCTTAAGCATATACAATACATAAACAGTTTATTTATTAAGTATAACACCAATTCTTAATAGTTTTATTTAAGTGGCTGTACGGTGCAATGACCGTACATTTTGCGCGGTCAGCGGTTTACACCCTCGGCGACAATTTTATTACTTATACATAATTGTAAAATCAGTTCACAAACAGCAATCGGCAGGTACTCATTGATCATTTTATTTTAGCAATATTTTAACATAAGTTGACATGTAACTTTACTTCTCAATTAACGGTTAAAGGAGATTGCTCAAATTGGCCTAAATGCACAAAAAATATTGACATACACGGTAATTCTTGGCGTAATTTATAATTTAATTTACAGTCATTAGATTTCAACGGACACCTTTGTATAATATATTTACTTTTCAAAAGGACTTTTAATTTTACGGGTTTGGAAAACATACGAATCATTTTTAATGGCTATGGGTGTAGAAACATTCAGCCAAAGACTGATCGAAGTTGTTTATATAACATAAAAACAAATCTATTTTGTAAAGATCGATAAAATAAATCATTTTTATAATTTTTATTATTTTTAAAGCATGTAACTGCTTGATGTTTAAATCTAAAGAAAATATAACTAGAAAAAATTCCACGCGGACCAGGCAGCAGACGGGACTCGAACCCGCACCCTTCGCAATCCGGGCGAATGCACTGACCAATTATGCTACCGCGGCCCTCACGGACCGCGTCGAAATTCTTTCTAGCTATTCTTAAGCTGCAAGGCAGCGCCATCTCTTCGCATTATAGGTAAACCCACAATGTCAAATGAATACTTTTACAAGTATTAAACATTTGAAAGAAGAAATAGCAATTATAGTTATAATTTTTATTATTTTTAAAGCATGTAACTGCTTGATGTTTAAATCTAAAGAAAATATAACTAGAAAAAATTCCACGCGGACCAGGCAGCAGACGGGACTCGAACCCGCACCCTTCGCAATCCGGGCGAATGCACTGACCAATTATGCTACCGCGGCCCTCACGGACCGCGTCGAAATTCTTTCTAGCTATTCTTAAGCTGCAAGGCAGCGCCATCTCTTCGCATTATAGGTAAACCCACAATGTCAAATGAATACTTTTACAAGTATTAAACATTTGAAAGAAGAAATAGCAATTATAGTTATAATTTTTATTATTTTTAAAGCATGTAACTGCTTGATGTTTAAATCTAAAGAAAATATAACTAGAAAAAATACTAAGACGAATCCTAATAATAATAAGACGAATCCTGAGTGTAGCGAGGGATTTAAGTTCACCCAAGACTAAGACAGCTTTATCACCGAGGAAAATTACTCTACTTTTCGTACCATTTGCGAAAAAATTAACACAATAATAATATGAGATATGCATTTATTAAAAATAATGACAATTAAAAGTAAAAGTTAACATTCGAAACATTGGTTCAATTAAATACGGCCTCGTCGGTTTTCGTAGTTTTATTTAATAATCATAACTGCACAATAAATGCGTATTCCTTTTTCAAAAAGATGTATAATGCTTTATATACAAACTCAATGGTGTAAACACAGATGTAGTTCAGTATAAACGGTGGTAAGTATTCCAAAAAATCACATTCTCCCCCTAGAGGATGAATGAAATTCAGTACAATTTTCTTTCCCTGTTTTTAACAGATTAAAAATGACTATTGTTATGTTCGCTTTTTGTGGCATAGAATGTCACTTTTTTAAGCAAGTGGTACGAAAAATACTTTTTTAGTTTAGTTATAGATCACTGATTTTAAAACACAAAAGAAATACGTATAGACATTACATTTTTCACTCAAAACCTCCAAGTTATTTAAATGAGTTCAAAATCGAAGTTTTTTATTGTAATTATATTTTAAAAAAAACTATATCAGGTAATATAATATGTCAATTGTAAATACAAAATTAAATGTAGGTATAAGAATAAGTTTAAATGTAAATAAATACATATTAAAATTAAAATAAAATGATCCGCTATATTGGTTGATCAAGTCAAATAACATATTGGAAATAATATTAATCAAATAAATGTTCTGTACAGTTTTTATCCAAATTACATACTATTGCTACTTATGTCTATGCTACAGCTAAACACGACTAGAATAAAACTGATAATTTATTTATTTGCATTAATTGAAATAAAAATATAGTAGGTGCAAACCTACGCATAAAATCTCTAACATTATAAATGTATGTATGTGTGAGTACATATCGTTTTCTATAAAATTAAATTAATAAAAGATTTTTCTTATTTATTACCGTAGGTACCTTATAAAAATATAAATTAAACAATTTCTCAGGCCCAATTGCACCAAAGTTCTTAATTCAATTAAAATCTCTTTTTGATTTTTAACAATTGGAAAAGATGGAATGATGTGGCAAACACGATAAAGTGTTTGCCACATCATTCTAACTTTTGGTGCAAGTAGGCTTTAATGTTTTTGATTGTCAATTATTGAATTAAGTTTGTACTTAAGTATTAAGAAAAGTTTTGTTCAAAAGTTCGGTTCAGTTCACGTTTTTTTTACATATATAATGCCTAGAATATTTTACCCCATTTCTGTAGTTATCTAGATACCATTTCTGTAGTTATACAGTTACAACACTCTTGCAGCTTGCACTCCATTGCATTTCAGGTAAACTTATTAAGGAATATAGTATCATAGAATAATCAAACGTATAAAAAGTTGAAAAAGCATTTTGGCGCAGGAGCTGTTAACTGGAAAGTTATGAAAGCGATATGAGGCAAGAGTCAGTCTTTAATAGCATCCGTAAATTGCAATAAGTTAGATCTTAAGGAGCATAAATATAAAAACGAACTTAATGTGTGTCACCAAATCAATAGCTGTCTGCGGAAGCTTACAGATTCATCTAACAAAGTGAATTGAGAATTAAGTCCATATCTTTACTTTAAACATGTAACTGTTAACTGTTAGATTTATAAGCCTAAGAAAAAATTTATAGATCTGCGTCAATTTTTTCTAATAATTTTTTCTTAAGATTCATATTTTAATAGAAGTTAAATATACGTTGAAGTCTGTCTCTCCTCGTCATAGCTGTTAATATATTACTAAATACCGTACCGAATCCACGGAATAGATAGAAATATGTCAGTAGTTACTTGTTAGCGTCACAAAAATTCAAACAAACCAGCCGTGCATTCTTATGATTATGATTTGTAATTAAAATACAAATTTGTGTAAAGTGGAAAAGAAAAAGGCGAAAAGTGAGTATGTACTTACAGAATTGCAGGGCTTAAAATACTCATTTAAAATCTCACCGCGGAATCCGTGGTGTCAAGTGAGTATGTTCCTACAGAATTATCTATACTAATAAGGCTATAATAGCTCTGATTTGAGAGAGATAAAAAAGATCAGTTTATTTTTTTGGAGTACAGTGGCATTCCACTTGGTTCATATACAAAATTGGCTGATGGCCTTTTCATAAAAAAATACTTTTTATCTATTCCGTAGATAAACATAATTGTATATTGACTGAAGAAAATTAAAGTTCCTTTAGCATGTTCCTAGCAATTAGTAAGTATATTAAATAACCTTCAACTATTAATCGATGATAAAAACATAATAGCGAAAATTGAATAGATTTCCTTGACGTTTTTGAATTGAGTATTCACTTGGCTTGTAACTTTATAGAACCTATTCGAGTATCTTCCCTGGACAGTACTCGGGACGACATTGTGGTCTGATGGTTCCAAGCTATAGGCTCTCCTCGCATCTGCTTATATCTGCACATAAAAATAAAAAAAGTTAGCTCATAACAATAAGCATAGGTAGCGTTTCTTGAACTAAACCACAGGCAAACTTGCGCAGAAGTCATTTTTTTATATAAAATTATTACTGCGTAGGCTCCATTGTACATGGTTTAGCTTAAGAAATTTGCCGGGGCTTATACAAATCATAGAGATACATACACATGGTTTTAAAAAAAGATCACACATAAACTAAGTAAATGTTATTAACAAAAAGAAATGAACATTTAAACCAATTATCTGATTACAAAATTGAAGCCTGAGGAAAGCAAACATATTTTTTTAAGACATAGTATATAAATATTATCAATAAATAAACAAAGAAATGTTACAAACAAAAAATCGTTAATTATTCAAAGCTTATAAAAGTTAGCAAATTGTAACTAAAAAACTAAAAAACAACTGATTATATTTTGAATTTTTTGAACATTTAATTGTTAGATGTATATAACTAACGAAAATTTTACAATAAAAAAAAACACGTGGACCAGACAGCAGAAGGGACTCGAATCCGCACCCGCCACTATCCGTCTGGATAGTGGAGGGTGCGGTTTCGAATATCACTGATATGAAATCCTCAAAACAAAAAAAGTTACACATAATAATATTAACATTTATCAGATATTTGCAAAATTCATTATTTCTAGAAATATAAAAGCTAAAACAGTTGCAATATTAGTCACCGCACTTAGTCTTTGCTGAATTTAATCAAATGTTAGCACCATGTGATTTAGTTGCGGCGACAGAATGAAAATTATCAGACCTGTGCGCTATGCATTAATCTTAACGCACCACCATCCAAACGTTTATCAGCAAACTCCAGCCTAAAAGATGTAAGCCAGTCAATTTCCTCACCCCTCACCTTAGCAGCAAACAGTAGAAAATAATATATAAGAAAAAAACAAAGAAGAAGGTGTAGAAAGTAGATAATATAAATATTATTCATGTATGCACTTCTAATTTTTTTTAAAAATACCTCTACAAAAGCTCAAAATCCATCAAAATATAATACATATATCTTTTAGTGACCATAAGTTCCCGAGATTTTAAATAATGATATTTTACAGAAATATGCATATTTAGTTTACTTGATTTATAGATTAATTTTCTGATGGAAGATATGTATTTAATTTGGTGTTAAAAGTACAGCTTTGTACTGAAAATAATCTTATAATATTATATTGGTTATATACCTTGATGCAGAAAAGACCGGCAAAACTTATTCAAAAAAGCAATTGTGGTAAAAAGACTCAAATTCAAAATTAAAGCAGTATTTAAAAAGTTTAAAATAAATGATCAAAATAAGCGAAGACTTGCAACTCAAACTATATTTCAATGAAGAAAAGGTTAAATCAAAATGGTCATATAAAATTGACGATTCATATTAACTAGTGCAAAACTATTGCTTGTGGTTAATTTTGCATTTTAACTATTTTTTTAAACTCACACCACTGCACGCTCTGTGATGCCATCCAAAATTACATCATCAAATAAAGACAATAAGAATTTTAGTTGCAGTATAACTTTACACGTTTCGCATTAGATATTTCAATTTGAATAAATAAGTTTCCTATGATTCAAGCATAAGAATATATTTTTCTTCTTTGTGAGGTAATTTGTGGATGAAATTTCACAGCCCGTCTACAAATTCACTACGGTGCAAACCAAAATCTGAGGAAAATCTTAGTGCTTCAGTTAGTTCTGTCTATCGCATTATATTGTTGAGCACTAAATTAATGTTATCATCACCCGATGCCATAAATTCTTTATTGTACCTTTTAATGTGAGTGCAGTTGTCTGCGTGAGTTTTCATTTCAATATTAATCATTTTCTATTTTATTCTCCCACTGACTTATTATTTCAAAAGTTTACTAAATTAAGTTATACTATGGTCTTTGGTGTTTGGGAAAAGTTTCGTCACATTTCTTAAAGCATCAGTTCTCGGTTTTTCTTCCTATTTTACGTAACCAGATATGGTATGCTCCTTATTAATTTTTAATCAGACTTGTGTTGTTGCAGCTCTATTATTGGGCTCCTCGTAAACAGTACTTTTTACTGTATCAATACTACCTCTTTGCTCATGTTTTTTTATAACCCATGGCTTAGTGCGATTTGTGTTTAAAGTTTTCAAATCACCATCACTCTTATTATGATGGAACTTTTCTTTAATCCTGAGTACAGAAGATTTTTATGTATAGTTCATAAACTTTTCAGGAATAGTAAACATTAACGGGTGTCTTATGGTATTCTGTAAGTACACATTCGTTTTCCTTTTTAACATCACTTCTGTTGTGTAAATGAATATTTAAGAACGACTAAAGTGTTTTGACGTTAAAGTTGTGGTAATTTAAATATACTAATAAAAACATGACACAAAATTGTTAATAAATACTCACCTTTTCTTTATAAGATAGTAAATTTTCTTTTTGCATACGAAGATAATGAAAATAATTAAGCCGATGAGGACATTGTATGCATCTGTGACTCGCCATATTCCATATATTTCAGGATAAAGAGCGCTGATTACTTCAAGGATCCAATTGATACCCATCACGGCAAAAAGCTTCACGTATAATAACAGCCTGAAATTTATCACAAAGTTCAAAAACTTTTAAATATTTGATTTGATTTTTGAAAATGATAAATGAAGATTCAGGGAAACATTATCAAACATATTCATCACTCATAAAGCAGGATATCATGATTATTGATGAAGTTGACACTAATGATTGAAACTACAAATTAGAATTGTTATTCTTGTACGTGAAAATCAATTTAATATTGTTTAACGATGAGCTTTAGTACATCGTCGTACGTCTTATAAAAATAACGTAACATATCTTTATCTTTAGGGTCATATACTTCTTCTTTAGCATATTTTGTGTCGTGGAACAGTGTGTTACGCCTATGAGAAATATTATATTTCTTAGTGCTGATTATTACTTGCAATGAAGACATTGAGACACATATTTGAGAAAGTTCTGAAGATAATAAAAAAATATTTCGTACCCGAGATTCAGTCCATAATGTGTTAGTAAGAATTTAAATTTTTTGCTTAGCGCATAAATATATTATAGAGCAGTTTATTTGATTTTTCAGCAGCCTTTGTAGTATTACATTCATAACGTAGGTGATTCAAGTATTAAATGAATCCTCTTAGATGCCATAATTAATAGTCAAACATTTTTATTTTACCTTTGTGTATCTTTCTTGTGCTGGTCGTGCTTAGAACTCTCTTTGGACTTGAGAACTGAAGTCTGTTGCTTGATCTGAGTTATCTTGACGGCGGTTAAGATGAAAAACACCATGTTGGCCAGGCAAAGAATTACGATCGGCCCATAGAAGTATATCAGCTTACTTGTTCCTGAAATAAATCACACAGAATTCCTTGAATAAGTCATCATCATCATCATCATCATCAACAGCCTATCATAGTCCACTGCTGGACATAGGCCTCTCTAAATGCACGCCACTCAGATCGATCTTGGGCTACTCGCATCCAGCTCCTGCCAGCCACCTTGCGTAAATCGTCACTTCATCGTGCCTGAGGACGTCCTACACTACGTTTGCCTAGATGCGGTTTCCACTCCAGAACTCGTCTACCCCAACGGATATCGGTTCTTCGGCAAATATGGCCAGCCCACTGCCACTTCAACTTGCTAATCCGGTGGGCTATGTCGATAACTCTGGTTCTCTGTCGGTTTACCTCATTTCTGATGCGATCTTTTAGAGAAACGCCGAGCATAGCCCTTTCCATAGCGCGCTGAGAGACTTTAAACCTGTGGACCAGCCGTGCCGTCAGTGTCCACGTCTCGGCTCCGTATGTCATCACAGGTAGGACGCACTGATTGAAGACTTTCGTCTTTAGGCACTGTGGGATCGACGATGTCAGGACTTGACATAGCTTCCCAAATGCTGCCCAACCTAGCTGAACGTGACTAAGTAATCATATCAATTCACTAGTCAACAAAATGAAAAAAATATTTTGAATCTGTTATTTAATGACTATTGTCTGATTATTTAGGTATATTGTTTTAACTTGCACAACCGAAAATAAAATGCGCTGACCATTTGCGCCAATGAACTCTTCACTCTACATAGGCTGTACAATGAAGTATATTTCTGTACCCTTAGCACGAACCATTATACAAAATTTGAACATTAGCGCCTTATCTGTACACATTTGATAGTGACATTTCGTACTCGCAAACGTTACGAATTCGATATTGATTCGTGCTAAGGGTACTGTAAAGGAAATATATGTGTTATACTATAAAAATAAAACTCATGGCAGTGGTCATTTCTTGGGTTCCGTAACCAAAGGGTAAAACCAGGAACCCATTACTAAGACTCCGCTGTCCGTCTGTCTGTCTATCTGTCTGTCCGTCTGTCTGTCACCAGGCTGTATCTTATGAACTTTGATAGCTAGACAGTTGAAATTTTCACAGACTATGTACACACATCAAAAGTGTCTAGGGATCAAGCATTTTTATGCGGATTTCTTGAGATTGAGATGTGGCTTTGTAATAAATTTATGATTTTATAAATTTATATGGATCCTTTTTGGTGCATTTCATAATTTGAATCAGGAACTGTGAATCAAATTCGAGTAAAAGATGAAAATCAGCTGTCAATATTTTCCCTATAAAAACATACAACGCATTGAAGACATTATTAGTGCTACTGTTTCCCTACTACTGATTAAAACCAACGTTATTATGGAGCGGCGACGTCATTTAAGCAGGGAAGAAATGCTCAGAGCCGTGGGAATGATAGAAGCTGGTTCCCGGCAACGTGCTGTGGCTTTAGCTCTGAATACAAGTCAGAGTGTTATCAGTCGACTTTGGACACGATACCGAAGCACTGGTACCGTGGCTGAGCGCCATGGAGGACGGTATCGCTGCACCACACGGAGACAAGACCGATACATTCAAATCTTAACTCGAAGAGCTCCAACAATAACCGCCATGATGTTAGCCGTGAGGCTTCATCACTCTTCAGGGAACTTAATTAGCGACCAAACAGTCAGAAACCGCTTGCATGAAGTGAACCTTCATTCCCGAAGACCGCTACGGGTACCACCTATAGCAATGCACAATCGTAGGATTCGATATCAATGGGCTCTTGAACACAGAAATTGGGCAGAAGAACAATGGCGTTTCGTGTGCTTTTCTGATGAGTCTCGTTTTGGTATGAGACCGGATACAAGACGTATACGACACTGGAGAACCCCTGGACGCCAACAGCGATTAAAATCCTGCCAGGAAGTCCATCCTTATAGTGGTGGAACCATCATGGTATGGGCGGGTATTTGGATCGGCGGAAGAACTGAGTTGATTTGGATCAGAGGCAACCTCAACGCTCAAATTTATGCTGAGACGATTGTATCAGACGTCATCGTTCCTCTACAAGTGCAAATCGGTCCCTTATTTCAGTTAATGCATGATAATGCACGACCGCACACCGCAAGAGTTGTAAGACAGACTCTCGCCGCAGCTAACATCAATGTCCTGCCCTGGCCTGCTCAGTCGCCAGACTTAAACCCGATTGAGCATGCATGGGATATGCTACAGAGAAGAGCTCTGCCGAATATGGAGGGTATCCAGTCGCAAGAAGACCTTTTTTTGTTGTTGCAACGAACATGGGCGGCCATTCCACAGCGTGATTTGGATGAACTCATTTTGAGTATGCCAAACCGATGTTCTTGTGTTGTTAGTGTTCGCGGTAGAAATACGGATTATTAATTGTTTAAGTTACCCAATAAAATTTTAGAGAAAACTGTTATTTCAGTCTTTTTTTCGAACTTTTGTGTTAGTGGTTCAAATGTCAAAAATCCCTTTATTAGGAAAATGGCAAATTTCTTTATTAATGCAAAGGTGACTTGGTTTATCGTTACTGTGACAAACGAAAACACTTTATTTGATGAATCCTTAAAGAATATTTTAATTAATATCAATCAGGAGAAAAGTTATTGCAAAAATATATGTTGATCCCTAGACACTTTTGATGTGTGTATTTCTGTTGCCGCTATAAAAATAAGTACTAAAAATTGAAAAAAAATGAGGTGACTCCCATACAACAAACGGTTTATATTGCTGATTTTTTGGTCTACATTAATAACGGTAACAGGTCATTAAAAAATAAATAATAAAAATAGGGCTCCTATACAACAGACGTGTTTTTTTTTCGTTTTTGGCACGGAAACCTTCGTGCTCTAGTTCGACTCGCACTTTGCCGGGTTTTTTATGTTTTCTCGCACACCAATCCATACTTTAATATTATAAAAATGATTTTGTCTGTCTGTCAGTGACCACTTTAGGTTTGAGCCACTAGATCGAATTAGTTCTTTGGTATGAAGATAGTGAGATTCAGAAGGACATAGGACAGTTTTATTCCAGAAATCACGAATACAGGGTAAATAGAGACGTAGAAGTTTGTATGTAAAACAAATTTTTCTACTCAGATAAAGTCGCGGGCAGTCATTAAATAAAACATTTTTATAAACTACTTTTATTGTTTCGTGCCTTACCATAAATGAAACATCCCTGGTGCCTCAACATCGGGAGCCACGGGTGCGGCGGTAAGCCCGAAAACTCCAGTGCAGTCAGAAGGATCGTAAGCACTGTAGGGATACCGAATGCGTACAGCGCATACGCATAGAACCGGCCCTTGATCGACAGCTTTTCCAATGATAGGCCTCGCTTTCCACTGAAAATCAAATGTGAAATATAAGTGTTATCAAAAAAAAATGGCACTCCTACACTAAACACACTAAACACGTTTTACAGAACATTACAGAAGTGTCTTGTTAAGGTCGACATAAAGTGGCGAAAATAAAACGTATTTCTTTAAAATCCTAGAAAAAGTTTTCTTGAATAACCTTACTGCTAGAATCCAAAGCTTCTCGTTTTCTTTTCAATTTCAAGTATTATGACGGATGCAATTTGGCGGGTCCCCTAGCCGGCTAAAAAAGGTGTAAGATTTTCCCTCGTCGTTTTGTCAAAGTCATATTTTCAAGTGTCATTCAAATAGCCTTTTTTATATTGAGGTAGGCATATGACTATACCCAGCCTGACGTTAAGTAGTGGTAAAGTCCAAACGCGAAGATATCTGGTGTAGCAGTTACGAACTGCCACATCAATCATCCTCACCTTGACGATCTACACAAGTGCTGCTTCACGCTTTTAAAAGACACTAGATTTTTGAAAGGCAGACACGTGCGCGGCCAAAGAATTCCACTTGCGAATGGAACGACAATAAAATGAATCACAAAATTTCTTTGCTCGTGTAGGAATAGCCTCTATTTTGAGTAAACGTTTTTTACGTAGGAGAATCAGCTCATTCTTATGCATTAACCTTCAGCTCTAAATTTGCATACAAAATCGTACAAATCTACATACGTGTTAGTTAATAAATACACCAAATATACATTATTGTTTGATTTTAACCGCCGTACCAAGTACCGATTTGTATAAATTTAATATCAGTGTAGCTTTTTAAGGAGCTTTGTCATCCATAATGATAAGTCAAGTATATTTACACGTTATATTAAACAGTCTAAAATTTTGTGGCCGGCAAGGCCGCGTAATAACTGCGTGATTTAAAACATAATCATGAGGCCACATTGTTATGATTCAGACGGAGGAGTTGGCGTTGTCGCCAGTCTTGACACATAAGTAAAGATGGCAGAGAGGCTAAGCTTTTGCGCTACGCGTGTGTGTGTATGTGTGTGTGTATGCACTCGTAAAGTGGCCATACACACTACGAGAAATCGTTACGATCAGACTGTACAGTTCGAACGGAACAGTTTATCGTAAAGTGGCCATACACACTACGAGAAATCGTTACGATCAGACTGTACAGTTCGAACGGAACAGTTTATCGTACGTGGCGTACGTATAGAAAACTGTGCAGTTTTATAACATAAACGCTACGATTTATCGGTACCGTTTGGACGGTATGGTCTAATCGTAACGATTTCTCGTAATGTGTATGGCTACCATAACGCAACTAACAACGAGGGAACATTAAATCTAATGCCAGTTTCGATTTTTTTCTGGTATTTCTTAGGCTGCAAGGCAGTGGCCATATCTTTGCATTGTAGGTAACACACACGTTCTAATTATATTTAAGGTAATGCAACTTTTAATAAGAAAAATATTAGCTAAGTAGGTACTTAATTGCCTCCGCATTCTTTTATGTCTGTCTGTTCTGTTGGTTATTAAACGCAACATATAGGAAATTAAAACATCTATTATGTTTCAGACACATTTGTATGTTTATCTTTATAGAACTTAATTACTGTTTTAATTGGTTTTGCCATTGTGCTGATGTATACGTGGGAAGGCTTTTTAAAAACCCCTCCTATAATTCTAGTATTAAGTAGGTAAGTACAAATGAATAGGAATAAATAAATATTGATCACTCACTCATCACTGACCTTTGCGAAAGTTTTATAACGTCTAAAAAGTATATGAAATAAAATTGATCTAACACCTCGTTTACACCAAGAAACAAGTCATATACTAGTTTTACATAAAACGCGTAGAATAATACTTTTTGCGATATTCTTTCGTTTACACATTTACATAGACAACGAGTATCTTAAATTCACATATTTTGTGTATCCAACAAGTTCGATGTACGAGTAAGTATTGTATGCTACATGTATGCAAGTGTGAACAAAAAATGAAGACATTGTATAGAATTTGTTATATTTACATGTATTACACCTTAGTGAAAACGAGGGGTTTGGTAACAGGCGACATCTTGAAAACCGGTGTACATACAACTCTGCCAAAGAAGGTCATCAAAATTAAATATTATTCATCATCATCAGCCTATTAATATCTCCACTGCTGGGGCACGGGCCTTCCCTATGGATGGAATAGGGAGTTTGGCCCATAGCCCACCACGCGGGCGCAGTGAGGATTGGTGGGTGCTAACGACTGCAGATGCAGCCGGGACCAACGGCTTAACGAGCGTTCCGAAGCACGGAGGAACTCGAGATAGAAGATTTTTGGTTTTGGTCATCTATCCAATGACCGACCATTGCTAAAGTTGCTTTACTTCAACGATCGCAGCCAAACGTGCTAACCACCCGCGCCATCGAGCTCCTCATAAAATATTAGTAAAGATTAGGATATACGTGACCTAGAACAGTCATGGCACACAATTTAATGTCACCTTATACTCGTACATACGTAAAAGTCCAACAGCTAATTGCCTTTCGACAAACACTATAGGCGTGCCTGCCTACCTGCTGAAATGTGTGAAATTTATGGCCAGCAACTTTCCACGGAATAATTTGCCGAATTTACACCATTACTCTAATTGGTATTGTACAAGATGAGGTAAGTTAGTGCGTGGTTAATAAATTGCGTATTTTGGGACGTAAAGTGGTGATCAATTGTTCAATGAGAATCAACACACAAAACTCAGTGTGGAAAGCGCCAGAGGCTATAGGCTTTAAATCACACTAATATTATATAGGCGAAAGTTTGTGAGGATGTGAGTGTGTATGATGTTACTTCTTCACGTCTAAATGGCTGGAGCGATTTTAATAAAATTTAGTATGCGGTTAGTTGAAACGCTGGACCCTGGACAGGCTTCATTTCATTGCAGAAAATGTTCCTAATAAACCGCGGGTAACACCGCGGGGCATAGCTAGTAATAAAATAATTCAAAAATGTTTTTAGAAAAAAAAAACCGCTTACACAACCCCTTAAGTGTAATTAAGAGAGCTGAAATTTGTAGGCGGTGTACCATGCAATTAAGAAAATTACATGTTAATACGACAAGTGAATGACATAACTGAAGAAAGACTAAGGCCCGTATTACAGAATGATATCTAAGTGTTGATATTTACTTGAGTACAGTTAGAAAGGGATGTCGCTATGTGCTATATATAGCCTTTCCAACTATGCTTAAGACTAGATCAATCACTAAGAATCTTTCTATACGCCACTTTGGTGCTGCTTTAAATTTACATTAAATAACAGTGAAATTTAGTCAATTTTTAAGCAGCACCGAAGTGGTTTATAAGCAGTGCAAATAAAGCATGAATGTGAAATAATGGGAGATTTTAACATTCAAAACGTAGACATGCGACTCCCGACAGAAATCTACAGTAAGTGTCGCCGCACACGGGCCACCGACCACAACCACAAAAGTAATAGTAGTTTTCATATATTTTATATGGACTCGCCCCACACGGTACGCCGGTGACCGCCACACGCTACAAATCGTCGTTGCTCGCTTCTTGTGGCCCGCACCGGCCACTTAATGCGCCGATACAAAACGCCGATAGTCGGCGGCTGTCGCGCGCTTCAGCAACTTTAGTAGCCGCTTCTAGCTTCTCGTGGCGGCGTTTGTGGCTGTGGCGTGTGGCCCGTGTGCGGCGACACTAAATGTCTAGTATGCGAAAAATACCCCACGCTGATAGCATTGCCAGGCGTCCGGATAAAGCCGGGCATAGGATTTTTAAATGCGTGTCCAGCCAAAATAACCGGTGTCCGGCTTGTCCGGCATTTATTAGGCTTTTTACATTTCGCTAACGAACGAGCGCCGAGCGTGCCCAAGCGCAAGTGAATTGTCTGTCTGTCGCTTTTACATAAAATTTTTTGTCGTACCTACTATTACTGAGCCACAAAATCCTTAGTAATATAGGGTTTGTCCGGCCTTTTTACCCAAATGGACGGCCAATCTGACTGGTCTGTCCAGCTATTAGGCTTGGTGACCTGATAACCCTACCTCTGACGTTATGAGTAAGCTGAGTTCAAACAAGATGATACCTAGGTATCGTTCTATTATCTAATACATCGTTATAATAGCGCAACAATAAGCTTTGCTCGATATTGAAATAACCAGCTTGCACGGGAAGTTTGAAGTAGTCCGAATGAATGGCTTCAAGCTGCGACTGTAACTACAGTCTTCTTTGTCCACACATACACGGAACGCTCGAGCAGTTGCGACCACTCTTATACTGTCAATTTAGCTGGACATACGCCACTTAATAAGCGATACGCGTTATTTCCACTACTATTAGAATACAGAGAAATTACAGTTTTAAGAGAATAATTACCTGAATGTCCACCATATATCGAAAGACATCACGTTCAGCCAGAAGAATGCTGACAGCAGCGAGAAGTATATACCGATAGCTGAAACAGGTAAAAAACGCCAATTAGGTATCTCTTCTGTATAAATAAAAATCTCCAAAATGTATGTATGCGCATACATAACTTCCGAAAGACTTTAACAAATTGGGATATTCTTTCTTTGTTGTGTGCTTTATTGTCAGGACAAGGTTTGCACTGTTATACCTAATACCAATTATTGAAACCCCGAATCACTATATCTCTAAAGAACATTATTCCTAATATTTGTATCCCGAATGCACACTATCCCTAATAACTTTGAGGCGAGCTAAACTGTACTTCCAGGGCTCAAGTGGTGATACTTCACACTAGGTTAGGTTAGGTTAGTGTTGTGACCATAGCGCGAAGCGAGCGTGCCGCGGCAGCGGCCGGCGAAGCGCCAGAAAAGTAATACCAATTCTAAAGTTATTAGGGATAGCGTGCATTCGGGCTACAAATATTAGGAATAATGTTCTTTAGAGATATAGTGATTGTGATTCGGGGTTTCAATTATTGGTATTAAGTATAACAGTCCAAGGTTTGTATAAAAGAAAATTTTAAAAATCGATTAGAAATATACTTTCTTACTACCGTAGCAATGTCATCTAATGAGCTACCAGTCTACATTAATAATTCTTTCCCGCGAATTTTAACATTAGGGACTTTAACTTTAGTTAACAAACGAGAAATAAGCGTAGACTATTTACGCTGTGTTTGTTGTGTTCAAATCACTCAAAATTATTTGTCATTCAATGAACAGAAACAAAACATGGATTAACTAATCCAATCTTATTTTTTGTATATTATGAGGGGGTAGTTGTTTAATAGCTTCTCATTGCGAATACGCATATGACGTCCTCCTTGATGCGTAGTTACTAAAACTGCCTCTCCATTCTTATCCTATCTTCTATTCGAAATGTCTATGTCTTCACTTTCCATACTACTACATCATTTGCAAAGAAAAAAATATATGAAAAACCAATTACTAACATAAAAATAATGAAGCTATTTCGTCACAAAATGTTTCCAATGGGGATTCCGCTGGAACATTAATTTATTGCCGACAAAATATTTGCGGTCCCAGTAGTGTAGAGTTTAATTTCACGATGGAATTTCGGTATTAATTGTTTAATGTAAATGAAAAAGTATTTCGGCAAAGCTAGTGGATATACATACGCGAAAATCAAATTAAAATTATTGTTATACTATTCTAGCACTAAGCCCCGGCTCTGCATGGGCAAAATTTATTTTACTGCAGTAAAATATAGCACGTGACACTCGGGAATAATGCAGTTCATGTAAAATCTGTCATTGGGGTAGCCGGTTGCTTCTTATGGAATAACTGCCATATTGTTAGAAATATATAGATAGTACCTACATAGATTTAGGTGTTTTCGGAGTGCAATGATTTTACTGCCTAGCTTGAGATTATCACGACAGTTATCCCGAGATTGACTATTGCCAATGAATTAAAACTTGCTTCTATTCATCGAACTTGTATTTAACGCCATGTAGGAAATGAATTTGCAGGTGGCATTGGATATGAGAGTTACAGTGCTGAACGATTATTTCTCATTCACATAAATAATAAAACAATATATGTTCAAATCCTGCACACACGCATCTCATAGGGAAAGCTGTGAATGCCTACACCCCTCCTGACTGCAAAGGCCGTGTTGCTCAACTATTGGGTAACTTTTTAAAAAAGTTATATTTTTGCGGAAGAAAAACATAAATCGTTATCTGAATTAAGTAGTAAAGTTTTTCAGGTAATACTAAATTCACGGTTTTACGAATACGAGTATTGCGAAAGCATATACGAGCTGAAATCCTCAGCACGAACTAGAATCGAATTCGAATAGTTGAATTCGATCTAGATATGTATATGTAAATGTGTACAGAATTTTAGTTCTCGTTAGGTCCGTTTTGGCGCTGCTGTTCAAGTTTCCATACAAAATTGGCAATGGCATTTCGCATTCGCAAATCTAAGGCATTCGTAATTGGTTCGTGCTAAGGGTATAAGAATAGAGTGAGGAAGGGGGTTCTAAAAGTGTCCGTCTATTAGAAAGAGAAAGAAGATGAGAGACCACTAGCTATCTGTCTCTCTTGTGACGCATGGGCAGTCGTCTGTCCAATAGTTGGTCCAAGCATCACATCGAAATAGTAAGATGCTTACGGTTGCCAATGTGCATGCGCGATTAGAGAGAGAAAGCTAGCGGTCTCTCATCTTCTTTCTCCTTCTATTAGAGGGACACTTCCACTTGTCTATATCTCCCCTACTCTAGGCCTCGGGTGTAGGCGTCGTCGGTTTCCATTACGGTGTCAAATCTTTTTTCGGCAATTCTTATTAGACCTTACTACGTAAATTTTTGACCTTTCAGCATGTTAGTGTTGAGCTTCAAAACTAACTAATATTTCTTCATACACTTTGATAACGTTCTTTGCTGCAGTTTCAAAGATTGCGTCTATAACAGACAAACACACGATAGCGTCTCTTTATTATTAGTTTTTTCGGCTACTCTCATAAATATTACGTTAGCTGTGAAGCGGGCCATCTAATATTAGGACCTTTTGAAGAACACACAACACGTTGCTAACAGTTTATCAACAACACTTGAAATCCTTTATAAACATCAAGAATATTAATGAAGAGAGTGGAAACAGAGCTACCAAAGATTTATATGCTTAACAGGCGCCCATTTTAAAATGGTTTTGATGTTACCTAATTTTGCAGTTCCTTTCACTTATGCGCTTTTGACGTTGTTTAAATTTCTTCAAAATAGTATGAAGTAGTAGTAGTTTCTTTAAAGGAAGAGAATATTGATAAATTTCAAGACCTATAAAAGTTCTTTCAATTTATCAATTAATCACGAAGAGTGTAATTTCTAAAAACGAGTAGGACGAGGAGAGATAAAGTAACTAAAGAAAACAGTAACATTATTTTTTAATAATTCAGAAAACAAAGTTCAAATTTTCTGAACAAAAACTCACTTCACAATAGTAAAAAATATAAGGAATCCTCCTCCATTTTGAAGTCAGTTAAAAATCACGGTTTACCGTTCAAGATCTTTATTCTCATAAACAATTACAAAATTCACTTACCATGAGAACATAAAATATTTTAAAGAACAATTTAGTTTTCATTCGGAGAAACATTGATTGAAGTCGGTGGTAGAACTAAAAACAGTGTCATTGCTCATTGATTACGTTCGCATAGATGGCTCGGTTAACATAAAAAACTTTGAACATGGATATAGCTCCGCGTCGTACTAGAAGTGAATTTATTTGCTGGTTCAACGCCACTGTTCATATTTTAATTGATCCAGTTTAATTATCAAGGGAATACCGAGTTAATAATTTAAATTTTAAATGTTTTATATAACACTTTTTCGTCTATTTTTATTATGATAAGTTTGTTTTATAACTTTTATTATTAGTTTTATTAAAGAGGGCTTCCATACAAGACTCTTCATATCGTTGGGGGCTTTTGCTCGAACTTTAGGACCCCGCCGCAGGTGGTTTAAAAAAATCTGTCATTGCAGTTCTAGTGATTATTATTCATAAAATGATGTCTTCTTTCGGTAAAATATCCTATCTTCAATATTTAATATACCTATTGTGTGAGGTAGCCGTGGGACGCCCTGTATACATATACATATATATAAGTGTTGCGTGCGCTTCTCCATGTCACTATGCCTTATGCACCGCCTAATATTAGGTTATTTAAGAAAAGAAGTTTCACTTCAGATGTGTGGTCAGTGCACACATTTGTTTTTAATATTGACATTCCTTATTATGAAAAATTTACAAAACTTACGCACAACTAAGACGGTAACCAGTTCCAAATATTATGCAAACAGCAATCAGGCGTTTTGGTTAGCTAGCCAACAACATATAGGTAACAAAAAAACTATGTTATTATTTCGCCCTAAAAAAGAACATTAACACTTAACCTTCACATTATTTATATACACAAGAGAATCTCGCGGGGAATGGAAGTAATCATCTCAGAACCGGTTGCAGCAATATTAATTCAGCCGTAATACGGCCACAGATATAATAATACGTTATGTTGATTCCTACTACAATTGCACACAACTTGAGGTAAAACCACGCCACCGAATGTAGGTACGTATTGCACAAACCTACTAACACTTTTTGAACGGTTCTATAGCGCATCTTTTATTATTTCACTTAGTCTTTATCCCCAACTCTTTTAACTGGTTCCGTGATTAATTCAAGAGAGCTAGTCCTAGCTCCATACAAAGAGGACTTTTCGCACGTATAGGGTATTTGACAGTATTAAAATTAAAGTGCCAAATATTAGCATCTGTGTTTAGAATGAATATTGGTAGGGGTTTTTACTATTTTTAGAAAAAAATATTCATAATTTTACTAAAAACCCACGAAAAAGATAATAATTTTCGTATTAATTGTCACGTGACCCAAAACGCTAGGGATTGGCGGAGCCTTTAATGACGTCACATGATGAAGTAAACTTCCGGTCAAAGTGACATTACATTGTATCGTTTGACGTATTAAAAACAGTCGTGTGACGTCACACACTAGTAAGACGCCATATTGTCCAGAGAAACGTTTTCGCGGCAATTTGAAAATGGAGTTTCTGATTTGGTTATTTTTACTGAAATACACAACAGAATGATGAATATCCACTTTTACGGACTCCATAAACATTAGCCAATAGCGTGAGATCGTTTTCTGAAACTTGTCAAACCCTATTAGTGCGGTTGTCATGGAAAGTAACCTCTACATTATTTACAGAATCTATACATATAATAAAATGATAAGAAAGTCAAAACATTTTTATTTACAACATTGAATATTTTTTTAAAAGAATACTTGGGTGTGATCTACAATCGACATCGAAGCCAAAAATATAGTTTTTTGAATTTTTGCCTGTTTGCCTGTATGTATATTAGGGATAAACTCAAAAATTACTGCATGTATTTACTTCAAATTTGGCACAAATATTGCTAAGAAGTCGGGTCAACATATAGGCTACATATTATCACGCTATCACCTACGGGGAACGAGCAGTGAACCTTTATTTCTAACAACTCCACGCGTACGAAGTCAATAAGCTGATGATAAAAGTGTAAGCATGACCTACCTTTATTCAACATTAATTGAAATTAAGTCTAAGTCAAAATACTGTTGCATAATGCTTCACTGAGGTCGTTCTGAAATAATTTTCATATTTTTAAATTCTTCTGTCATTAAATTTTCAATGAAAATATAGAAATACAAATTATGAAATTCATTATGAAGCTGTCGAAATCAAGTAATGGCACAAACAAATTTACCGTTATAACGACTTTTCGTAAAAATAGCCTTTACTACTATGATTATCGTTTTGTTTGTGGAAAAGTTGTATTTTTTTACACATATTACTTGCAAATATATATTAACGCCCAAGTAATATGATACGAATATGCAATGATACGCTCTTTGTTTTCATATATTTTTTTATCTTAATTATTGTGTTATTGCGCGGGGTTTTTTTACTATGAATAATAATATAATATTTTGAAATGTGAACCCTTTTGTCTATTGTAAGTGCACATTACACACATGGCTGATAAAATCATATTATACTTATATAATACAAGGTTCTAAAGAAAACTTTGACAAGGAAAAGTTCGAATCCCGTCTGATGGAATAGACCTAGACCAAGTGGAATTTTTTCTACTAAAACTTTCATTAGATTTTTCTTAACATCTAGAAGTTAAATGACCATCACCACTTTTTTATATATCTGGGGTGTCAATCTTAGCTAAAGTTTTGAACTAAAACTAGGAGATCCTAAAAAATAATTTGTACTTTTTTGCCACTTTCCTAAAGATTTATAAAAGAAAAGTTATCTATAAAGTTAATTTAAATTAAGGAAATACGACATGTGTTGCATAAAGTATCGTCAACATGCAGGAAAATAAAATCAATGAATTTAGAATACATATATTATATATACGTAGGTAGGTACCTTTTTTGTTCTGAGATTTTAGTTAATAAAATAAATCTGACATTTACTTCAAGTAATAAAAATATTAAAACATTTTTAACATAAAAATATAGAAAGAGTGCAAAATGTGTGCCGTGTTTACCTAACAAGGCACACTTATTGCGAGGCAAGCTATTTGCATTAAGTTGTTTACGTTGGTCCTCCCTCACGCATTCTGTGGTTTTTGCCAAACTATTTGTACTTATCTACCGTAGGAAAAGTGTTTCATTAGAGCGAGAGAGCATGTAAAATGCATACAGACCGTTTGGTATGTATTTTATAAGCAAGCGGGTTCGATCATGGAAAGGATCTCTTTCTATGATCCAAGGTTGAGGATCAACGCAAGCTTTCTCACCCTTTACTGTCTTAAATCTAAACTTGACAACATTCGGTCAACATAAAAGTATAGAGTAGACCTGGAACAAATGACAATCTCTCCAGAGTTTCTACTGCTGCTAACTAAAAATATCTTGGGTCGTTGCCTTTCATATGTTTATCACACTTTTTACTCAGACAATCCTCTGTAGAGGTTACTATAATTAGAGTTGTAGAAGGTTTAGTCGTGTGTACTCTGCATGAATTAAATTACTGATTAATTGACATTAACTATTACATTACAAATTACGTGGATATGGCTGGCTGAATTAAGTATTAGAATAATTCCAGCCATACATCCTAAATTCACATTTAATCAGTATATGTCGAGTTATTAATAAAGCCTCACCTTATTACCACAAAAAAGTTAGACATGCCTTGAATATGAGCTTAAAAAAATTGGCGAACAAAATTTGACGAAACACGGTTTAAAACCGCGTCTTTAAAACTTTTTGTAGGAGGACCGTATTAGTTTAGTCGATAAATTGTAGGAATAGATTAGGAAACAATTTGAACAGCCGAATCCACGTGCTTCAACAAAAAACTGAAGAGTGTCAAGACGGATGGGTTTTCAGAACAAAAAACAAACCTTAATAACATTCTGAGATTTTCCGTAACTTTGATTGGAGCGAGTAAAAAAGGTGTTTAGACTTTTAATATTATATTATTATGTTATGACAGGTTCAATGCCATCTTTCTATTATTAATGGGTAATTTTGGGAAGGCCCGTAGCAATGTGTGTTTGGTTTTATCAGTTGATTTTTATTTTATGGTGCTGGTATTATTGTTATTTATTTATTCTCTTGCTTTTTTCCTCCTCTGTAGAATTCTAAAGTTTATTAATAACGAAAAGTAAGTATCTAATTTTAATAAAAAATATTCTATAAACAGTAAGGTACTGTAACGCCCGCAGCGTTAGAGCCTCTTTGCTTGTCGAGTACCTACGGCTAGCATTAATAGTTAAAATAACTAAATTATATTTTTGAAACATAGAATTTGAGTACCTTTTGTCTAGATTCGATTGATGGCAGATTGAAAACAGGCTTAGAAATTAACTTATTCCATGAACAGAGAGAAAGCATAGAGTAACTAATCCAAGCTTAGTCTTGGTTTAAATAAGGGGGTATAAGATCATTATAGTTGTATTATGATGATTCTATGAAATATAACATAAAATATAATCAATATTGTTCATTTTCTTCGTTAGAGTTTCGTCTCCCAAGATTCCCTTCTGGAATCTTATAGTACCTACTTGCATTTGTTATTTATAGAACTGATCTAGATCTTTAGTTCATAAACAAAAATGATCACTGGTTACTCACTCAGTCCCACGCACGTAGTCGCTGAGATGTTGTCGACGTAAAGCAGGATCTGCATGGTGGCGAAGAGGGAGAAGCCGACGCACAGGCACAGCAGGTAGGCCATCAACACCCTGCCGTGCAAGTTGCGCAGCTCCGGCAACCACGCGTATACCGCGCAGGTCACCAGGATGAACACGCACGAGATCACCATGCCTGCATGAACAGGTAGACAAAAGCTTTGCAAGATTTATACGAGAATTTAATAAACTCTATGCTATTTAGGAAGAGGGTGGGGTTTATCACAATGCAGTTGACAGGTGGTGGCTTGCTAATTTGACATGTTATAGATGCTCTTAGAATTAGAGAAGAGTACTGTAAGATCCGTGCCATGTCGCTATTATTTCGCTATTGCACATAATCGGGCCGGCATAATCAGTTCGGCAGTATTTGTCGAACAACAATGCCGACCCGTAGTAATTACCGCCGAATATCCATCTACATATATTCGATTGTACCAATTCATGCCGGCTCGCTTATTTGTATAGCTATCCTTATCAGTCCGTTATTTCAAAATCGGCGTTTTTTGTTTAATAACTTTCGTTAGTTGGTTTTCTGAGAATTCTGATTAAAACGCAATAACAGATATCACTCGTTTTTATCGGTTCAGCCGACGGATGAAGCCCGCATGACGTCTTGTTTATTCCTATTTGAAACCAGTTAGTAAGGTAGCTAGCAGCAGACACTTGTGGCAGAGTCTGAGCACAGCATCCAGTAAGAGTACAGGCCCCGCCGCAAGTACTTATAGCCACTACTTACAGTAACAAAACAAATATGAAACCCTTGGTCCTCCCTACCGACGTAGACGGGTGGGCCGAAGAAGGCAGGCAGCCGTGACTGCCGGTCTTCGACGGCCCTAAGGTGACGGAGCGCGGCTTGGCCCGGAGACGTCCCGGTGAAATGACGCACACAGAGGTGCGCCGATCCCGTGACGCTCCCACATGGGCGTAGGAGGGTACCGGTGAGTTTTAGTGGGTAGGACTGACGCTGTATCCCGCGCCGGGTGAGTACCACACTCGCCATGCGCTTCGCCAGCGCACGGTACGGTCCGTCAAGGGATTTCTCATCGTTAAAAAATAAAATAAAAATGGTTGTTACTTACAAGTGCTAGTGAGCAAGTAATAATGCTCTTCCTGCTTGCTAGCGAAACAGACAAGGGCGTCCATTCGGGTGCTCCTGGTGCCATCACGGTTGTCGTACACGAAGGTGTCGATGCAGTAGGTGTCAGGGCCTCGGACCATCCATGGAGGGATCATGTTAGGTGTGTCCACGTACAAACTACCATCCTGAGGACAGAAGAAGATAAAGGAGATTAGTAAGATTACAATGAAGTAATTGAACCAGGAATTTTCCCCTCAAATGGTTGGAGTAAAAGTCCAACTGATTGATAATAAAAAAAACACGAAGAGATAGAGTAGCTTGTGCGGCACCTTCATACAATATTGTAGGTTGTCAAGCTGTCTCCATATTTTTCCTGACCTAACATGGCAACACGAGTATGAAAGAAACCTTTCGAAAAGAAACTGTTCTTTTACAGTTGTAGGAATCCGTGTGACATAAGATTTAAGGGAGATATTCCACTTCTAACTGAGGGTTACGGTGCTCACCAACAAACCCCACCTAGGGATATGTGAAGCAAGATAAACATTCAACAACATATTCTATTTCATTTCCTAGTCGTAAAACAAGAAATATAAACTAGATCTATTTTCCCCTGAAAAAAAGTTTAGTAGAGAGATTGCAGGTTTTCAAACTAGTTTTAAAGTGTCATGTTTATCAACGGATTCCAGTTAGTAGCTTTTTAACATTATCTTTGTAATGCGCCGATGCCATAATGGATATTAAAATCCTGTCTAACGGTTGAGATAGGAGGCACAACTGATCAAGGAATAATTAGCCAGTACAGTACTACCAAGCTCTTGTGGCACTTACATGACATTGACAGGAGGGCACTGCTGGTAAGTAAGCGGTGAAATGAGGATTACTAAATACGTTAAATCGTCACTCCTCACTTAAGATAACTTTATAATTTATTAAATAAAACTAGTTTTTACGGGTTAATGCACGAAACTTTATTTATTTATTGACGTTTCGCAGCCTTTTCAGGTCTGCATCGTCAGAATAATGATTTTATTTAGGTCTAAATAAGCCTCATCTAATAAAATCATTATTCTGACGATGCAGACCTGAAAAGGCTACGAAACGTCAATAAATAAATAAAGTTTCGTGCATTAACCCGTAAAAACTAGTTTTAATTAATGAGTGATGTGCGTGAAAACCTAAGAAACAAATATTTATAATTTATAATAAATCGGAAAAAATAAAAGGCTTATTTACCTTTCTCTTTAGATGAGGCTTATTTAGACCTAAATAAAATTTGATTCTGACGACGTAGCCTGTAAAGGCTACGAAACGTCAATAAATAAATAAAGTTTCGTGCATTAACCCGTAAAAAACTAGTTTTATTTATTTAGACCTTCTTTAAATTACAGTAATTTATGATTTTACGGGATACTTAAATCTTGTTTTAGCGAGTTTCCGATATTTCGGCACTGTTGCCTGCGCCATGATTACGAATTAACTGTAGTAAACAAAGAACATGGCAACAATCCCGTAAATAACATAAATTACTATAATGTTAGTGAATATGAAAGTTTAAAACAATATAATCTTAAAATCACTTTCGATTTCAACCACCCGCTCCAAGAACTTGGTCACATTGTACATTTGATGTTTTCTAAAACTTTGAACTATCAGCACATTAAATTGCTCGCGTCTGATTAGTATTTAAACCCATACAGCATAGGTAGGTATATTATAGAAATCTCAGATTTGAAGTTGTTTTCATTGTAGCTATTTAAAGTAATCGAAATAATGTTATTATGAAAAAAAAATCTTATTTTTATGACTTGTAAAAGCTTTAAAATTAAAAAGAGAAATACTTGGTGTAGGAAAAAAACACGTCTTGAGAGATTTTGTATTCATGAAGTATCGTACCGAGTGACACACGCCTAGGAATGTCCTGGTGATGGTTATCAAATGTGACTTACTTACTATAAAGATAAAGTGACGTTATTAGGTGTACACCTGCCAATTTTAGTCGATAAAGTGCTTGAGTTGTTTTCGATAGTGGATAGGGCTTTGATTACATAACATCTATAATCTGAGGGATAGGGACTAAGAAAAACTACCAGTAGGCTGGTCAGTATCCAATATTTATTGGGCGAAATAATCATAAGTTCAGTCAAGGCGACAAACGGGTATTATTACTAAGTTACCTATACAGGTCGCGGCACGTAACAAACGCGGAGGGGATAGCTGCGCATGGGTACGACTGGAGGGCCAATCGGCGCAAGGCACGCCTACCCGCGCACCTCGTTTCCCCCCAAGACATCTTAATTTTTACTTCTGCATAATAACGGTCAGCGCTACAGTTTCATGCCTCAACTTATAACCAATTGGTCTAGCAGTCCGACTGTATTTCATGATATGGACCGTGATAGTTAATAAGCTTTGTATGAAAATGTGTAAAAATAAAAATATGTATGTTAGGGTTCCGTATGAAAACTTCGATAATGTAACGCAGGGTGTGAATAAAATAACTCATATCGCTTACGCTGCGGAAGTCATTGGACAAGCGAGCAAAGTAATGTACAAAAGTTTTATAGAGGACATAAATATCTACAAAAAAGTCTGCTATGTCATATATCTAACCATTACAGTTATGATACAACTAAAGGTCCCCTGCGGTTACATCCGCGTTAATTTGAGGAAAAAGGTTATAGCGAGTCAAACTCAAAAGATGGGCATATTCTGTAGTAGACTTTTTTATAGAACTTTTAAAGGAGAACAATTTCGTCATACATGCCATTGTGTAACTTTAATTATTTACGCAGCGCACGCTACAGAATGTCCAAAATGCAATATTTTTCCATGCAACATTTAACACTCCGCTTCTACTGGTTGCAGCGTAATATTAAAGCTTTTCTCAATAAATGCATTATCTAACACAAAAATACTTTTTCAAATCGGACTATTAGTTCCTGAGAATTGCGCGTTCTGCCAGAAAAATGGTGCATTCGGTACAACTAAGCAAGTCCTAAACTAAGCAACAAAATTTTCACTATCAGTTAAATGAATTTTCGTGGAAGGTTTATAATCATATAAAAAAAATCATCTCTTATCTATTAGACAAGTCCGTCCGTCCGTCTGTCTGTGGTGCTGTTTCAGCGGCCAAACCGTAAGAGATAGATAAAGAGAATGTTTAAATTATAAGTTAAGAATAGTCTGATAAGACTACAAACCGGATTTGAGTAACGTAGCACTTCCGGTTTTCGAGAAATCACAAATTTCAAACGAAACCACACAAAATCTCCGAAGTTCTCAATTAATGAAATACATTTTTTTTTTAAATCAGGTTTTGGTGAACATTTGGTTCACTGGTTTGCTAGTTATGTATAATACAAGCCTGAGAACAAGAAATATATTCTACACTACAGCTCTACACCAAAGCGAAGCGAGGTGGACCACTAGTAATCTTATAAAATCGTTGCTTAGCGTAGTGAAATTTCGTTAGCCTTAGCAAACATTACCCACCAACAACAAAAAATATATGCCTTATGTATAATTTAAAATAATACATTCATCAACGTCAGTAGACGATTTTTTATCTGTGGCTTTTATGTTAAACTGGCAGTGATTGATTTGAAGTGCACAAAATCTTTACACGTAACTAATCCTTTCCCTTGTATGAGATGTACGGAATAATTGAAGAAAAAAATATTTTTGACCCTATGCAGGTTAATGCTCAGAGAATTTCAAGAAATCTCAAAGACATCTCTTGATTTTAAACTATACAATATCAATTTTTAATATCAATTTGAGGAGCTCGATGGCGCAGGTGGTTAGCGCGTTCCGCTGCGATTGTTGAATTTAAGCAACTTTCGCAGTGGTCGGTCATTGGATGGGTGACCAAAAATCTTCTATCTCGAGCTCCTCCGTGCTTCGGAAGGCACTTTAAGCCAATGATCCCGGCTGCATCTGCAGTCGTTAGCACCCACCAATCCGCACTGGGCCCGCGTGGTGGGTCATGGCCCAATCTCCCTATTCCATCCATAGGGAAGATGATGATGATATCAATTTAAGGGGAAAAAACTAACTCGTTTGAGTGGTCAAATTAATTTTCCTTCATTATTGTTTTATAGTTAGACCTGAGAATGTTATATATAGCATCTAGAAGGGTCTGTACGTATGTCATGAGCCGTAATGGGTAGATAATCGAATCGGAATATTTTTTCACGAGATGTTTTTTTTTATAAGGCGTAATAAAAACAAACAATGTGAATATGGGGCGTCTCCATACATGAAACTGGTTGTATTGTGAATGTTAGTTATCTTTGTACGATCGTAAAAAACTCAGAGCAGTAAGAATCTGTCTTGGTAGGTAGTTTTTTTGCTGTTATTAATGCAATACCAATTATTAAGAGTAACTACACAATTCGGTAAAACAAAGTAACTGTATTAATGGATATTCAAATACATTATTTTCTATTATAAATTTGATAAGGTGTCAATCAATTTTGCTTTATTTAGTTAAGGCTCTGACAAGCACTTATGAATTCCGAAAAATGATCTTGTACTGAGAAAAACCAGCAAGAAACTCAGTAGTTCCTTGCCAGTACTTCTCAGAAATAGGTCAAAGGTTATGAAATGTTCTCTTTCCCTGTATTTTTATAATAATTTTAAAAAAGGAATTATTCACTTTCTATCAGGCATAATCAGAGACAAACGCGTCAGCCAGTGACTAAATAAAAAAACTACGACAATGTGCTGAAAATATTGCTTTGAATTATTCAATTGATATTTATTTTAATTATTAATACCTACCTCTTCCTGAAAATATAATGTTTTTACTTTATGGTAAAGTTAGAAGCCCAGAATCCTATATTTTATTTTCCGTTTTTAGTAAAGCGCGTTTTGAAATAGATGAAATCTGGCTTTGTTTTTAAGCGAATTTACAGACAACAAACTCTCCTTTTCATTTCGTATAGTAAAGCAAGACAAAAAGATACACTGTTGTAAATTTAAATTAAAGTTAAGACAAACGCGCCAGAAGCGGTTCTACCATTCCATGTATCACTAGCTTTTAACACATATTACGTAAAGTTTGCGTGGGACATCTTTCGCAATACTATTCGGTGATGGTTTATTAATTTACATAAATGCATAAGACTTAGATCATAGAAAATCTATAAATGTTGGATTCTCTTCCAGTTCGTATTTGGTG